AGAGGCCTGAGAAGTCTCGGTATCACCTTTTCAAGTAGTGGCACTGCTAATCGTTCGATCTCATCACTTGGACCACGCGCCTCGGCATCTATCTGCAGCATACGCTCCATACCTCTGGTATAGAATTCCTCCCATGAGTCAGTCCAGGCATTATCTTGTGCGAGCGTACCATTGTACGTCGTGATATGGAACCCAAATCTGCCGTGCAGGTTTTTGTCAACGCTGAGTGTATGAAGTTGGGATACCGCATAGGTGAAATTTTGGATCGGCGGATGTCCTTTGCGCAGCGCGTGGTACTCAAAGAGAATGAAGTGCCGAGCCGAGTTCTTGCATTTGCCCCACGATAGAGGTTTCGGTGAAAAGTTTGGGACAATGTCGTTGATCATCTTCATGCTCTCGAATTCACCGTGGAACATTTCGCCGCCAGTCGGGCCGTCTTGTAACTAAATCGCGTTGAGCATAGCGGAGTGGCGGTCCGGTACGGCAACTCACCTTAAGAAAGTAAGACTCTTCCTTCCCATCTACATCGACGACTACACGCGCTGTTGTATTCCAATTACTCGCGCCATGGCCCCGAGATCTCTTGATTGTCGCATTTGGTGGCAGTACTGGATTGTACGCAGGTATGTCAGCCCACAGCGCCAAAAGAAGCTTGTGTCACGGAGGAGAAAGTAGGCACACCTGCGATGATATTTTCATCAAGCTCGACGTCACCTTCATGAACTTTTGGCGCGCTTTGCACTTCCCAATAAGCGGGCGGCATCGCAGTGGGTTGAGCTGGTGGGTCTACAAGCCGGCAAAACCTTGAAAGTGGGGTATCAAGTGAGGACCCCAATCTATACTTGTTGAGTGAGCACCAGACAGGTCGCGCGAGACATTTGACATATCCATGCTCCAATGGATCGAACATCAGAGGATGTTCACTGCGTCATGCGGCGTCACGTATTGCTATTGGCTGGGGTTGGCAAACCCCGCTTCTGTGCCACCCGCCCGCCGGCGTGAAGAAGTATCGACGCGGTATACGTTTTGTCAAAACCTCCCTTATGCGGCTTACATAGATAGCAGGCAGTCTTGGAGGCTGTGAATCGTACTCGGCCCTATCCCCCAATCTCATTTCGGAGTCATCGAATTCTAAACGCGATATCTCAACCTCATTCGAAAGCAAATCCGGTCAACTCAACGAATCAACTTTGGCTTCTTCGTCCAGCCGTCATGTTTTCTCAAACTACTACTGATAATCAGGAAGCGGAGAAGCCAGCGACGAGCCAGACTTTGCAGGATTCAGCCGCGCAACACCCATCGGTGCCAAACTCGCTTTTCACCAAGAATGAACGATATGGAATTGTAGCCATGATTACGTTGGCAGCATGGTTCTCAACTCTGAGCAGTTTCATTTACTATCCTGCCCTTCCAATGGTTGCCAAGGATCTGGACTCATCGATTACAATGATCAACCTTACCGTTACCTCCTACTTGGTCGTATCTGCCGTCGCTCCCGCGATTGTCGGAGATGCAGCTGACATGTTTGGACGCCGACCTGTCTACGTAGTGACTCTGCTGCTGTATGTCGCCGCAAACGTCGGAATTGCAATGCAACGTTCAGCTGTGGCACTCTTACTGCTGCGCATGGTGCAAAGTGCAGGGATATCTGGCATGTGGCCCCCACCAGGTTCTTGATGGTCACCCGCCATAACCGTGAAACAAGCTGACAGCTATGAACCGGATACAGGCACCTTTTCCGTCTCATATGGAGTTATCGCCGACATCTCAGCGCCAAGTGAGAGGGGTGCCTTCGTATCTGCTGTTTCATTCGGGTGAGTGGGATCGTCACACAGCGTCGCAACCTATACCAGCTTCTGTTAACACACGTCAGAGTCACCACTGCGCCGAGCCTGGGACCGGTCATAGGTGGCGCATTCGCCTCGGGTCCTGGTTGGAGGTGGATATTCGGATTCTTGGCCATCGTTTCCGGCTTTTGTCTGGTCACACTGTTCCTAGCCTTACCGGAGACGAATCGAAGCATCATCGGGAATGGAGGCATCGCACCTTCTCGGCTATTGCAGCCTGCTATCCGTGGTATTATGCGGCCATGGGAAGGGCAGCGCGGTCCGAGCACTCCGCCTCCACCTTCGCAAGCGAGGAGAATACCAAACCCAATCAGGAGTCTTCGCGTATTATCACGCAAAGATGTGGCTGTAAGCATCATGCCTGGAAGTTTCTTGTACACTGTGTACTGCTGCATTCACACATCATTGTCGACCACCTTTATGCAAGTCTACCATCTCGAAGAATGGCAAGTGGGCCTATCCTATCTTCCATTTGGCGTCGGCGCGATTATTGCGACTTTGATTTCTAGCAAGTGGATAGACCGAGACTATCGTATTGTGGCGAAGGCCCATGGATTGCCCGTGGTGAAAATGTCTGGAGATGACTTGTTGAATTTTCCCATTGAAGAAGCTCGCATGAGAAGCGCATTTGCGCCCACGTTTTGTGCTTTTGCCTCCGTCTTGGCCTATGGGTGGCTAGTCAATGAGCGTCTAGTGAGTGAAGCCGCGTAACTTGTCATCCATTGGCTGACACGCCCTAGCACCTCGCAGGGCCTCTGGTCTGTCTTTTCGTTGCGGGCCTTTCTATCCAGACTTGCTTTAACGTAAAGGCCCTCAACCACAGATTTCACGTTAGCCCACTGCTAACTGTCTCAGATCAACAACACTTTATTGGTTGATATCAATCAGGACGTGCCAGCGACAGCTCAGGCTTCATCCAACATCGTTCGCTGTGCGCTCTCCACCGTCATGGTCGCCGTACTTCAAAACCTCATAGATTCCATTGGCTTTGGCTGGACCTTCTTCATCATGAGTTTGTTTTGCCTCGTTGCTGGTTGCTTTTACTTCATCGAGCTAAGATTTGGACGAAGGTGGAGACTCGCTCGAAATGGATTAACAGCTCACTAGGTAAGATATAAAGTCACACTTCGCGCAACAAAGAGAGTCTCTGGCCAGTCTTTCATACATCTCGGACGTCACGAACATATGTCTCATTCTCCCTGGTATCCGTCGGGGTACTTATCCAGAAGCCGCTGCATATCCACGATGGCCCTGCTGTGTGTCAGTGGATTTGTACGTAGTAAGGATAGTAGGGGCGCACATCTTTCGAAAGTTGTTGTTGTCCGAGTACAGGGCAGAGGCGCAAAAGTGTCCGCTTCTTCGCAACGTTAGCGGCAAAGACATCGGTCGTGGGTGGCTCGCTTACATAGCATAAAGAAGATTGCGGTCCTCGTAGTCATCTTCGGGCGCTGTTATCGGAAAGAACTTGTGATATTCTCGCATCCATTGTCGGCCAAGCTTGTAGCGCGGGGTGGCCATACTGCCAACGTCATCTTTTCGATCGGAGATCACCAGATCAGTTCTAATGCGAGTTGAAAGCTCTGGCGACGACTTACATTCATTATGACCCCAGAATACCGATGGGTCAAAGTATACTGGATCACCGGTAGCTGCATTGGTACCAATGTTACCGCACCAGATGTCACCATGGAGCGCAACGGGTTTGAGACTTCGACCATGAGTGTTCATAGGTCGAAGAAGTCGGGGGATAACCTTCTCCTTGAGACCAAGCACCAGCCGTTCAATCTCTTCACTTGGACCCTGCGATACTATCTCCTGGTCGACGAACGACTGGAAGCGCCGGCTGTAGAGCTCCTCCCATGTCTCACTCCATGTCAGGTCCTGGTACATGCTTCCTTCGTGGGTCATGACATGGTATCCGAACTTCGTAGGTGCTTTCGGGTCCATCATACTGTCATGGTGGAGCTTAGCAAGCATGGCAGAGAATTTACGAATGTCGGGGAGATCCTCGATCATCTCCATAAACTCGGCTAGGTAGAAGTGCATGCTTGAGTCGGACTTGTATGTGCCCCAAGCAATGGGACGAGGTATTCCTTCTACAGGTTGACGTATGGAGTCAGAACTATGTCATTTTCCATTTAACAAGGTTGCTTACCTGGAGTGTACGCATGCAAGGTTTTGACGCCTTGATATTCACCTCTCAGCATGCTCATGCCCAAGTCCCCACTGGAGACCTTGAGGAAATACTTTTCTGGAGTTCCATCGGCTAGTTTCACATCGATTCGAGCAGTTCGCGTCCAGAAGCTAGCGCCATGTGACTTTGCTCCCATCACTTTGCATCCCGGCGGTAGTTCTCGGTGGCGATTAGTCAAGTTCCTCTCAGCAGTTCAGGGACTCCCTTACGTTCGACAATGGCTTCGTCTACATCGATAGCCTGCGCCGTAACTTGCTTCGTTGGCTCTGGTATCCAAGCAATTTCCGTCATGCTTGAAAGCGAGTTCGTGAAGGGTTATGTCGGTCGACAATAGTTTTGGAGCTAGCACTGACTAGAAACAATGGTCTTAGAAGACTCAGTGAATCGTGAATCTGGGGGAAGGGGGGCATCAGTGGGGTCATTATTCGGGGTGATGTTCCACAGATCGGGTGTTACATGAGACTTCAATCCCGATTGGTTGACCAATGGAGGATGCAGGATGCAGGATGCATGTGAGAAGGAACGGCTGCCAGGTGCCATCCAATGTCTTCTTCTCTGCAAGCGCTCACCGGTACACGCCACATATGCGCATTCGTTTCGCCTCCATTACACGCAATTAGGAAGGCGATAATGTATTGTTGCGCTGACTATTTCGTCTGACCCATTACCCAGGCTCTGGCTCAATGCCAAGGCTTCTGCGGCTGTCTGCTCAGACTCCCGAGGTCATCTCCGCCCCGCGATCGTGTCTTGTCTCACCGCTGTAGGTTGCTTTATTTCAGCCTCGGGGAAATTCTCAGTCTACATCGCCCTATATACACCATCCTGACCTTCCAGCCATCGTTTCTCATCTTCAACCCCACTCAATCTCAGCGTCTCCACATCTTTAGAGACCCATCCATCCTCCTTGCAAGCCTTAGCAACATGATAACCAAAAGCTCTCTATGACATAGTTCCATATAATGGATGACGTAAAGTGCCCAAAGCTTTGAGTTTCACAGGTGACTAATCCAATACTGTAGGACATTGGCGATCTCCCCGACCTCGATAGAGGTATCGGAAAGCGGAGAGCTGCGACAACCAGTAATGCTAGCGTCGCATCTTTCGGCTCGTCTTTAAGTCGAAGATTCAGCTTTCGATCGTTTTCTAGTCGCAAATCTACGATCAAAGTCGAGAAGCCAAGAAACGAGTTTGGCTTGAACACTGTGTACGAACCGGATGACATCACGCCAGTCATCGCCGACTTTGTTTTCGTTCATGGTCTCGGCGGTGGCTCTAGTACGACATGGTGTCTAAAGCAAGACGCTGACTACTTTTGGCCAAAAGAGTGGTTGCCCAAAGACCCAGATTTTAGGGGAGTCCGCATTCATAGCTTTGGGTACAACGCGAACTGGGCCACCTGGCTGAAGAGTCCAGTCGATATCCATGCTTTTGGTCAGTCTTTAGTCGAAGAGCTTAGGAGCGATCCAAAGATCCACAATCTGGATAGTCGTATAGTGCTTATAGGGCATAGTATGGGCGGTCTAGTTATCAAGAAGGCGTGCGTCTTATCTAAAACCAACCCGGATTACATCGATATCGCCAACCGATTACATTCGTTGTATTTCTTGGGTACTCCCCACCGAGGCTCGAATCTCGCTGGTGTTTTGAACAATTTCCTTCGCTTATCTGGGAGTGGCCGAAGAGCGTATGTATCCGGCTTGGAGGCCAAGTCAGAGAGCATCCGTATCCTGAGCGACTCTTTTCGTATTCACTATGCGGGCATACATCTGCACACATTCTACGAGTCTCAGCCAACACCCCCTGTCGGAATGATCGTCGATCAAGAATCTGCTACCTTAGGTCTGCTAGCCAATGATACCCTTGGACTTCATACTGACTGCCATAGGATACGCTGAGGAGCGCATTCAGTTATTGAATGCAAATCATCGTGATCTTGCGAAATTTGAGACTACCGCAGACTCAAATTACAGATCTCTAAGGAACCGTCTGGCATCAACAGTCGACCAGATAAAGCTGGAAATGCGAAAACAAGTAACACCATCGAGTTTTACAAGTCCGGCAATTGTTACCAAGACTCCAGATGCGCCGTTACCGCTATCATTGCCAGCGCTGTATCAAAGCAGGGCGAACGAGATGGAACAGATCGCCATGTACCTCTCCGTCGATACTTCGGCCGACGAAAGGCTGTCAACCCTCAATGACACAAGACTGAATGGATCATGTTCCTGGCTGACCAACAAAACCAGTTTTCGGGAATGGCGGTCGTCTCCAGCACCTCGCTATTTCTGGCTGAAGGGGACACCGGCGTCAGGAAAGTCAATGCTGGCAAGCTATATGATTGAATTTCTACAAGACAGCCCTGTATGTCACTACTTCTTCAAGAAGGGTGACAAGACCGACAACAATTTGAGCAGCTTTCTTCGGTCCATGGCGCTACAGATGGCTCAGGTCAACCCTGACATCCGTAGCGCAATCTTCCAGCTCTCACAGAAAGGTCCACCAATCGATATTCGCAACCAGAAAACCATCTGGAACACCATTTTCACGAGTTGTGTGTTCCACGTTACATTTTCAAAACCGTAAGCTGTTTTCAAGCAATACATAGAGCAAAACTCACACAATTGCTTTAGACATTACTGGGTCGTTGATGCTTTAGACGAGGCAGCCGACAGAGGCCCGTTGAACGACTATTTCAGTCTTCTTTCCAGGATCGACGAGAATATCCCCTTAAAGGTCTTCGTCACCAGTCGACCAGATCCTGCGTTGGACGATCTATTCTTGCAGCTTCCTCTAGTGCAAGATTTCATATCACCAGACGACTTGTTGGCCGACATCTCATCGTACGTTCAAAAATGGTCCACCAACTTTCCCGTCAATACACCTCAAGAAAGAGAAATTCTGGTTGATAAGATTGTTCGCATGTCTGGCGGTAGCTTCCTGTGGACTGTTCTAGTCACCAAACAGCTTCGGGAAGTTTTCACTGTCGAAGAAGTGCACGAGGTCCTATGCGAGATACCCCAAGAAATGGACGATCTATACACGCACAACATTCGGAAAATGGAGTCGCTGAGGTCAAAGAGCGCAGCAAAACATACAATCACGTGGGCGATTTGCGCTGTCCATCCCTTGACCGTGAGCCAGATGAAGGATGCTATCAGACTGACGCTGGGTAGTCCGATAGCACGCGATCTTCGAACCAGTCTCCAATATCTTTGTGGACAATTTCTCGACATCGATATGCAGTCGCGGATACAGCTAGTTCACGAAACAGCTCGCACCTTTCTCACCAATCCAAATCTAGACTCAGAATTTCGAATCGACTATGCCGAAGGAAACAGTCTTATTGCAATGGCGTGCCTCAATCATCTGATGAGCGATGAGTTGAGGTACTCAAAGAGACGGCGTAGCTCCACTGCAAGCGGGCACAGCAAGACCTCTATGACGGACTACGTATGTTTACGATTCAGCGAGCACATTCTTAGAGCGTCCTCGCAATCCAACGAACTGTTCAATACGTTGGATAAGTTCTTCAAGACCAACGTGCTTTCCTGGATCGAGCACGTGGCCCATCTCAAAGATTTGGATTGTCTCAATCGTACTTCGAGACACCTATCGAACTACCTCAACCGTAGGATGAAGCATGTTCCGTTATTGCAAAGCGACTTACATGCCTGGGCTATCGATCTGCCTAGGCTGGTAACACAGTTCGGCGTCAATCTCCTGAGTGATCCCGCTGCTATCCACACACTCGTCCCGCCTCTGTGTCCTCGAGACTCTGCTGTATACCGGCACTTTGGATATGCTGAGGATGGTATCAAGCTGGTAGGCGCATGGAATGCAGGCTGGGGAGACAGGATATGCTCCATCTCTTATCATGACACCTATGCGACAGTGGCTGCTTCTCGAGATGAACGATTCGCTCTTGGGTTGGCTGACGGCTTGGTCAATGTCTATCGAACCTCGACGTGCGAACACCTCTTGACTATGAGGCATGAAGAATCAGTATCGGTTCTTGAGTTCGGTTCCACATCCAAATTTATCGCCTCAGCTGGATTGCGGTTTCTGAGACTATGGGATGCGGCGACTGGGGCGCAACTATTTCATATCGCTACCGATTCGCAAGCCCTAGCTTTGACTTTTGACGAGACTGAAACGTCAGTTACAATAGCGACCAGAGACAAGCATGTTCTGACCTACAGGATTGCCGATGGCTCGCCGCTGCTCCATGTTCCCTGGATCGACGCTTTCGCTGAAGATACAGACTCAGGTTTTGCGCCATCTCCATCTGCGGCCAGACTATCTATTGAACAACAAACACTTGCGATAGTCTATCGAAGCAAGCCGGTACAGCTGTGGTCTCTGGACAAGCAGCACCGTATTGGGGCTTGCTTGAGGCCGGCGACGCACAAGAACGACAAGGGAGGCCATGCCGTGAATTGTCTAGTCTTTAATACCAGCTCTGCAAACCCACGACTTTTGGTGTCATACTGGGACGATATCCTGGTCAAGTTCGATAGTATGACTTGCAAGCCGCTTCTCTCAACTGCGACATGCGTCACGAAGATGGCCATCTCTTGCAACGAAAAGACCTTTGCTGGAAGCGACGGCAATGGCGGGATCAAGATTTTCGATTTCGAGACGCTCCAACCTCTCCACAACATACATATACAAGGAGATCCGGTATCGTCGCTTGCCTTCACTAGCGACAGCCTGCGCATCGTGGATTCGCGGGGTACGCAAGCCAATGTCTGGGAGCCACTCGTCCTCTTCGGGCAAGACACTGAAGCTCTCTCCAGCGAGCCTAGCGAATCTGTGCACCAAATAGTAGACGACATTGTTGAATCTGTTGTCAACGAGTCTGCTATCATAACCACCCTGCACTGTTGCGATCAAAGTGGTATGGCTTTCTGCGGGCGCAACGACGGACGTGTCGATACCTGCAACCTCGACGACCCCGAGAACACTATGCGCAACCTATACAAGCATGGTGGGTCCTTCATTAGTATTACATGCATGGACTGGAGTCCTAGAGCGCGTGTGATAGCGAGTGCAGACTCTGCAGGAAAGTTTTGTATCATGAAAATCACGACTGGCACACGGAGAGAATGGAGCGCTGAGATGATGGTCCAGTCGAGGTTAGGCCAAGGCTGTATTATACGACAGATCCTCGTCCACCCTGAGGGTTCGTTCGTACTTGTTTCCTCATCAGAGGCGGACTCTATATGGTCATTATCAACCAAGGAGCAAGTAGCGTCACTTGACAGGCGAGAACGCATAGCTTGGAAATGGTTTGTTCGACCATCTGCTCCGTCGCAACTGCTTCTTTTTGAGGACAAGATCTTGCGGCTTTTCAGATGGGAGGACCTTCACCAGATCGCTGCCTCTGAGAACCCCGTGGTGCCGATCGAGATCGAGAGGCGCATGTCTGGGGAACAAGCCGACGCGGATGCCATTTCTGTCTCAAGCGAAGGCGATGACCTGGTCATTCTGCAGCGATCGCAAACCGTGCAGCACAGTGTACCGGGCCTGCGACCTCAGTCTAATGACGCTATGATGACCAAGATACGCGTCTTTGATCTGACTACTCTGGATCCCGAGTCTACTGATATCGGAGGCTCGTCGTCGCCTGATATGTCAATTGACAACGCGACACAGTCTCTTATCTTCTTGAACCCCAAGCCATCTTCAACCCTGGGTATTCCTCTATCGCCAACGGCTACGCCCAATGTCCCATTCTCTTATCCTTTCGGAGGCGGTCGTAGCAAGTCCTATACTCGCTGGTCTTCCATTAGAGATGTCGCTGATATACCCGATGTGGAGAGAATCATTGGTACGGTGAAAAAGTTCGATTGGTGGCATCTTATTTTCCTTTCCAAGATGGGGTGGGTCTGCTCGGTTCAGATCGGGGAAGGCGGTCGCAAAGTCCTCGACCAATTCCAGAAGCACTTCTTTGTTCCATCGGTTTGGCGCACAGGCAACTCGCCTCTTATCGCCAAGGTACGGCGGAGCCACGATATCGTGATTGTACACCAAGATGGCGTTATTGTGGTCAAGAATGGGTTAGACAACGGGGAGCATGTGTCCTTCTCTTTGAGTACGCTATGAACGGGTTCCGAATAGATTGCCAAGTAATGGCCAAGTGGTATTTTGAGAACCTGTAGCCCAATGTGAAGACCACAACGCTCTTTTGTTATTGAAAACATGTCAATCTTCATCCCATCCATCGCCTGATCTACTGGCATCCATGTAGTCGACTACGTTCTCCTCGCTTTCCGTGATATCCAACGGGTCGCCTCCCATCCTGAAAGAGTACACCTGCAGTGAGACATTGGCAGCTTTGCATCTGACACGGCGGTGCAACGCTTGGCCCTTGTGGTTGAGTGCAATCAGCAATACCCATCCCTCTTCGCAGGCCTCGCGGTCTGCAACCGCTACAAGCAACGTTTGATGGGTATTTTCGTACTCCTCACCTATCATCTGAGTCACATTGCTTCCTTCCATCGCGTCGGGGCATCGGACTAGAGCGCTTAAGATGAACGGTGGTATATCATCCATCAGCCCGACCTCGTCATCGGCGTCCCGTGCCGCCACTCTGTATGCGGCATTGTTGTCGTCGAATACAAAAAGCCCAAACAAGTTTTCGTCGAAGTTGTAGTTGTGTTCCGGACAGCACGTTACTTTCTGCCATAGTCGGGAATATGCCTCGTCGGCACTTGCGCGTGTAACAATCTCTTCACCCAGGTTCTGCCCATTAGATGCTTCATTGCCATACCATGTCCGGATCCATATAGCACCAGCAGCACGATCCCATTTGCCTGAATCCGTCACTTTGCGGCGCTTCTCGAAGACCGACAGGTTTGAAGGGACGTGTTGAGGAAGTGATACATCGTCGCATCGCTCGCGGTAAAGCTGATCAAGACGCGCGTTAGTAAATGAAATTCGGACGTGCCCACAAAGTGAGATAGGTAGATCCTACCGAACGGCCACGCTCACCGAGGTGGATCCAGGCTTTGATAATGTTTCGTTCTTGCTCGTCTTGGTGTAGAGATGATTCTGGATCCCATTTCTCCTTTTGCTCTTGATCAGTCGCATTCGATAGAGCTTGCTCATGCTCGCTGTGCTGACTAAAAGGCGTAGAGTGCAGTCCGACGTACTAGAAAGAAATGATCAGAAGGTTCCCAGCCGAACGAGGGTTCTAATGACCGCGAACTGGCCATTGAGTTCGATGCCGTCGAGTTGGAATAGAGCGCATATGGTTCAAAGGTTGTGATGTGAGAAGACTTGAACAGGCAGCAGTCTCGGCTGCTGTTCTTGGCGTGTGCAGTGCGTCTCTCATTGGCTCATATGATCCTTCGAAGATCGCGAGCCGATCTTAGCAGTATTGAAGTTACTTCGCTATCCTGTTCCTGGGGTCTGTGACAAGGTCTGTGACGAGATACTTGATCGGAGGGCGCGGCAACAAGTACAATGCAAGCTTTCGCTTTTTGGAAATCCCATCAGGCGACCGCTTCGCCGAAGAATTTGCGCGAGGCATTGCTTTCCTCCAGATTCGCTTGAGTGAAAGGGTGTTCTGAGAAGAGGTAGGGTCGACGATCGCGTCGAACGATGTTTTGTCTCTGATCATGGGTGGCATGGTGTGTTAGGATGCGATTGACGTGTACGTTGGTGGGGCGGAAATGTAGAGTTAAGAATGAAATATCTCTAGATTGCTAGAAATATATGATGTTGATGTTTGGGTCGTGGAGCGATGAACCACGGGTCAGTCTTGCAGAGGATGAGGGGCTGTAGCATCTGTGCCGAGGGAACCAATGAGTCGATTTGTATATGTACTCTCCGGATTGTTTACCGATATGTAAAAGCCAAATTGCAGGCTCAGATTAGCAGAACTTTGCCGTCGCCGGAAACAGCGGTTCTGCGGCAAGGAGAGCATCCCCTGTTTAACGAGCCTGCTTTAGCATGGGGAGCTATGGTAAAAAGGCAACGTCACATGTGCTTAGCGCGGCGATGTCGAGAGTACGCGGGATTACGTTCTGCGCAGCCATCGTGCGCAATAACAAGACTTCATGTTACCATGATGCGGTGTTGAGGAAGCAGATTCCAGATGTTGAGTTGATGTTTGTTAGATGCAGGTCCGGAGTGACGGCGATGATCTGGGCCCAGGCAATGCGGAAGCTACCCCGGGCGGGCCAACGACGTCAGGGCAGGAGCCACCCAGCCATCCTTGATGTCTCCACTCCAGCACGTCTACACGGACGGTACACCTCACCACGACACCTCACAGCCCTCACCGCATCGCGATACGTACTATCCCCCATATAAGCCATCGCGCATCCATGAGCGCTATCTCCGCGCTGCATGTGGCAGACTCTGCGACAATACCATCGTGATTTTGCCATCCCGGGTTCCAAACGGTCACGCATGGCTTCTGGCAGCATTGGCGACGTGCCTGCCGCGACTTTTGCTGAGTACGTAGACGATCCTTTCTTCGACCACGGTGACGAGGCGGGTGCATCGCAATCGCAGACATCGCGGGAAAAGGAGGATGACTTCATGGAGAATGCGCCGCCTGCCGATGCACCGCAATTGGCGCTGGCGCAAAGACCCGAAGCGCCGTCGCGATGCATCGCGGTGCGCCCGGCTCTCACCCACCGTCTCTACTCTCATCGCCTCCATGTGCGGGCCAAAGCTAAGCTGCAACGCGATAGACTTCTCTCCGGCCCTATGATCGACGTCTACGTAGGCGAGTCCAAGCGCCACTGGTCGCTGCATCGCAATCTGCTATGCCACCACTCCGAAACCCTCGAGAACGAGCTGCTAGGCGATGCCGACGGCCACACTAGGAAAGATCGCCTCGATCTTCCCGATTACAACCCTGCCGGCTTCGAGCTGCTGGTGAAGTGGCTATACCAGGGCAGCCTCGACGATGTCTCTGACATGGCCGACGCCAACCAGAAGTATGAGTATGCTGTGAGCTGTCACAGACTCTATCTGCTTTGCGATCGCTTTGACATGCTTCAACTGAAGAACGTCGCGATGGATCAGTACAGAAAAGGCCTAAATGAGGCCGAGCTAGTACCTGACGCTGACGAGATTGATGACATCTATCGCAAGAGTCCGACAGGATCGCCCTTCCGCACGCTTATGACGCGCATCGCGGCCCGCCAGATTATGGATCCTGGTAGTGAGCGCGACGTCGAAACCTATCGTGAGTGCTTCGAGAACAACCCGGACTTCGCCATCGATCTGGTCAAAGCCATCAGGTCAGGCACTGGCGGCATGCTGTTCGACGATCCAACAGATGAGGGTCATGAGTGCGACTACCATGACCACGAAGCTGGCCCGAACTGCCACACAAAGGGCAAGGGCAAAGGGAAGCAAGGTGTGTGACTCCGACCTCTCCCAGGCCCACTCTCAGCACCCTTTCAGCCATCTCATTGCTGTCAAAAACGCGTAATAACGTCCATTAACCAGCAAAGAAGAAAGCCGGCCTGTCATCCGCCAAATCAGTCCCCTACATAAGCTCCGACCAGCACAACCGCCCTCCCCGCCCTCCTCCCCCGAAGACGCCTCGCCCGCCTCATCCCCTGCAAGCTCGCCCACAAGAGGGAAGCGCCGGTCCTCTCCGCCGTCGCCTGACAAGTCCGGCGAGCTCGACAGTTGGCACATCGACGGAGATGGCAGTCGCCAGTCAAGCACCCAGTCTCGACGCGATTCGCGAGAGGGAGAAGGACAGGGAAAAGCTGCGCAAAGTGACGCCGCCGGAGAGAAGACGCCTGGAGCGGGCTCAAAGCAGTGGAACGGAGATACAGAGGTCACGCCCAGTCCTAGAAGAGCGCCGCCGAAGCTCAGACGACGCGTCTCACCCACACCAGAATAGCCAGCTTGAAGACCAAGCATTGAGGGAGCTCGAGGGAGGACCAGTGCAACCACCACAACGATCACCGACGCGTCGAGGCATCTGGGAATGGGCGAAACTAGGGACAGGCAGGCTGAATGTCATCGGACGTATACCCCACCCCGAATGGAAGGGCCCAACAATGTCGCACGAAGCTGTAGCGAACGGCAATTCGCGAATAACTACCATTCATGAGACCCATGACGATTTCAGCATCCCCTCCACAACGGCTACCGAGACGAACAATCTGCAAGAATACAACCAAGCAATGGCAGCTAAGCTCGAAGGCTTTGGCTTCCCACACGCTCACATTATCACGTCGCCACACTTCTCGCAGACCAAACACTCTTCCGATGACCTTGTTGCTGCATCATCTACAGCGAGCACGCCAGCGAATCTGAATCTTGTTCTAGAGGGTGGCACAAATAGCGAGCGCGTTGCACCGCAGGCCTCGAAAGACAGTCCGCCGTTGACGCCGGACACCCCGACACCGCAGCAGCGCAGAAAAGACTCGACCATCGAGACGGAGAGCACACCGACGAAGGTCACCTCCGACAGTGCGAAGGCAGAGATCGCTGATCCACCTCTGAATGGCGTCAAGAAGACCTCTACTCCTACTCCTACTCCTGACCGCATCCCCAAGTACCGGATTGCGCTTTCTTCGAATTTCCTTTCGCCAGCTCGCAACAGTCCGAGTCCGGCATCTTAATTTTTTACCATCAAAAGCGATACCCTGTACGTACATATAATTTAACGACTAGCGAATCTTGTAATGCAATTCAAATATTCACGAAGCGCGCAATAACATCCACTGGAACACGACGCTAGCGCAATAGTTCACATATGGCTGGTATGCTCCGAGTAGATACTCACTGTACATTCACTGACCGCAGATCTACACCTCTGATGGTTGCGATTTACACAACACGCAGCGTTGAGTCAAAGGTATGTGATATTTGCAGCTATCTACTCGTCGCGCGTCCAGTGAACACTGCCCCGCAGTACAAGGTTGTCGTCGCCTTGGCATATGCTGCTCGCCTCGCCACAGCAAGATCGTCACAGTCGCTTTCAAAGCTTCCGAAAGCAAAGTATTCTTGAGAACACTAGCTCTTCCCATCGCCAATCACTTTCGTCTCTTCTTGATTTGCTCATAACCCTCTCGTAACATCACTGTCGCTGACCCAAGGCCGGCGTTTGCCACGAAGGCACAGCTATGCCGAAGCACCCATATCACTCTGAGAAAGAAGCCTACCGTTACGAGTCCTTGGGGACAGCGTACAATATACGGCTCTTACAAATTGTATCAACGAAGGTACATGACAGTACGATACAGTGGCAGTTTTCGCTGTTAAACACCAATACCAAGCATGCTCCAGAGTACGAGGCGTTGTCGTATGTCTGGGGTACTCCTAGCCGTAAAGAAGCGCTTGAATTGTCGGACGGCACGTTACTTCGGGTCACAAAAAGCCTAAAGCAAGCCTTGCCGTACATCGCTATGGACTGCTCCACGGGCTACCTTTGGGTCGATCAAATATGCATCAATCAAGACGATTTGTCCGAACGAGCGCAACAAGTCTCAATCATGGGCAGCATATATTCTAACTGCTCACGCGTTCTAGTGTGGCTGGGGCTGGTTCAAGAGCTGAAATCCGGCATCGCGGCCCAATGCTCATCGTTGGACAGTCTAGTCTCAGTTCCTCTTGACCATGCACCCCCGAACTACTACATGTTTGTCAGCTGGGGTAAACCGCGCGCCGACAACATTATCAGAGATATGGTCGATTGCGAGCGTAAACAAGAGGGCCTTCTAGGCTTGTGCGGTGATATCCTGAAGAGCCCGTGGTTCTCTCGAGCTTGGGTATTTCAGGAAGTGGTTCTGCCACGAAAGTCGGCATTCATCCTACAAGACTCCATGACCCCACCTTTCAACCGCGCAACGGTCGTACTCCCCACCCTTTGGGAACTGTGTAAGACTGCATGGAAGTTGGAAACACATAACCTGTCTACGCCGTCCGGTTATGGGGTATTGAAAGAGATGCATGATCGGTGGGCAGAGAGACATAAGCCATCAATCAAACTTCCGATGCCATTAGACCAGGTGCTGTCTACGTTGAGTGCCGAAGCAAAAACTTCCAGCGTCCATGATCAACTCTATGCTTTCTTTGGAATGAATCAAGATGACCGGATTCGTCTGAACCCATCCTATGAGATTTCTTTGCAGGACGCCCTGGTCGCAACCGCACGCTCCATAATTGAGGGTACTAAAAGCCTGGATATCTTCGAAACTCTGCCACGATTATCGACAACGAAGACTACACCCTCTTGGGTTCCCAACTTTACCGCACACCGTCTCGTCGTGCCTTTTTTGCCGTTACATGCGCTACGTAGCTCCAACGAACAATCTGCAATGTATTCATGGAACGGTAAATGCGATGAGCGTACTCTGTGGGTACATGGTCGGGTCGTTGCTACCGTAGACGTAGAAGTTGACCACGAAATCTCAACGTCGGAAGAAGACATCAACACAGCATATCTTCCTTTGCTGCTGCGAATAATAGACGCCTGGACGACTTCTCGATATTATGATCCAGACGCACCTTTACCAGTGCTTGAGTCCATACTACCGGCGCTCCTTGCGGAAGGGCATTGTGGACCCTGCTCGTACGAGCCGGAGGATACTGCTGTATTTGCCAGCGAACTCCAGATCAAATACTGGTATTTTGCAACGAGCAGAGTGAAAAATCCCACATATTCTGCTGAATACAAATATCGGGTCACGCATCACAACATGGAAAAACGTACCGTAACCGAATATACCAAAATGGTCATGCGAGGACGACAGTTGCATATTACACAAGATGGACATCTCGCGACAGGAAGCGGGCTTCAAAGAGGTGACTTGATCTGCGTTCTGCATGGCTGCTCGCATCCAGTAGCACTTCGACATATGCCTGAAAAAGACGCGTATGAGGTTGTCAGTACTTGCTATCTCGAAGACTGGATGGATCCGTGGAATACAGGGGCAGTGAACTGGAAAGAAGACGAAGCTCAGGAGTTTGCATTGATTTGATAAACGCTGTTTGGGAGTCCAAACGACGTGTCGTGGTCCTCACACTTTAATCTGGTACTTGGGTACATATATAGTGGGTAGTAAGGTGTTCAAAAGCTGGTATCGCGCGGTTTCAACCTCTATGTATTAAGTGTTGCTGTTCAGTTCCCGATGATGCCTTCCACATGGGATGATGCTGCGTGGCGAGTCGGGCGTTCTTTGTTTACTAGCTTCTAGCGCGTCATGGCGCACGTGCAGACGCGTCACGGACTCACCAACCGCCTCACCCATCTGGCCGCATGATACTAAATGACGGCACCATGCCATTTGCATCCAAATTACATCAGTCGCGGCCTATTCTTGCTCTCCTCCAATTCCACCCCCACTTCCTCAACACTGCAGCTGCACACATGCCGAGTACGCCATCGACCAACCCAATCGAGGTGAATATCCAGCCGTCTCCTATGGCATCTCTGACTGGCTGGAGTATCGCGACTGCGACGGCCGACAGGGTACACCGGACGATGTTGTTCGAGGCCGCCGCAGTACCGGCTTTGTCAGGAAAGATGTCCACCATCAAAGCGCTGTACAGCTGCAATACGATGGTACATCTAGCACCAACAAAGAATTGCAAGATGAGTGGTATGCTGGCATGAGCACCACGCTCAATCGCCCAGCCATAGCCAATGAGAGTGCCGACGGAAAGCACATGCAACGTATACGAGCCACGGGAACGAGCGACCTCAATGGGGAAATTTCGAATATCGTCCCCAGATACACGGTCTAATGGGAAACCATATGATTCGGCCGTCTCTTTGTAGTTGAAATCCATGAGACGACCAGCAACGAAGCCGCCTACGATGACTCCTGCGCCTCCGGATAAGAAGCATAGACTGACGGCTAATGGGTTGTAACCGTATCGTTGACCGTAGATCAGTGGTATAGAGGCCTGGATACAGTACCACACAGCGTATGGGGAACCTGCTGACCAGAGGATGAGGAACGTGTCAGCGTAGAAAATGAGACGCACCGAGGAGAACGGATTTGGAAAGCTCCAAACGCCTTTACCACTCTTCTCGGAGTATACGTCACTGGAGCACTCGTGGTCGTTCTGTCTTTCTCGTCTTCCGCTGGACCTGACGACAGACCACCATGTCTTCCACAAGGCGCGAGGACGAACCTCTCCATTGCCAACGATCTTTCTTCCGGTTTCGAGCATAGTCCATCCGATCAGCATCAAAGAAGATGCGCCAAAGATGACGAGCGTCCAGAAAGCCCACTGCGTTTGCCCCGTAGCTAAGACGATACCGCCACCGATGATAGGTCCGAAACATGGTCCGAAGTTCGTAGCGGCAAGCATGGGTCCGAGGATTCTGCCTCGCTCTACAGGCAAAGAGATATCGGCGACGACCGCATAAGCCAGCGACATCACTGCCGAACCTCCAATGCTCTGCAAGGACCGAAGGACTAGTAGTGCGGCGTAGCTGTTCTCATTGAAAGCCAGGCCCAGGCTTGCTGCGAGATATATCACAAAAGTCACCAAGAAGACTGGACGGCGACCAAGTGTATCCGACAATGGGCCGAAGAAAGCTGGCGAAATTGCCTGGAAGACGAGATAGACCGTGATGGTCAAATCGATTGCAAGTATAGACGTATTGTACTGCTTGCTTAGGCTCTCAATCAGCGGCAGGTAGATCGTAGCCGTCAAAGATGAAGCGAGCGTCAAGTAGCCGAGGAGGTAGGTGAAGTAAGTGCGCTGACGGCTAGTGAAGACGGTGAACGGTGGCGGGGATACTGCATCCGGTTCAGCCATCTCGACGCGTGTTTTCGCTGTCGTTATTGCTAAGAATCAAGGTCGGGAAGTGGTGGTGTGTTCGTTTAGAGTGCCATATCGCTAGGCTCATGCACTCAAGTGGCACTGTGATAAGCAAGGGTCAAGTTCGCTGTTGGATGTTACACCACCGATGACTCCCGTATTGACACTCGCCACATCTTGTGCACTCAAACTCTCGGTTTCCGCATCTTCTTGCTGCTGGCTATCACCGGTTTTGCATACGCCTTGTTGTTCGGGTGATGGCTGATACAGAGGTTGTGCGCATCAAGACCGTCGTGCCCCGCACGGTGATCTCATACGTTGATCCCAACGTTGCAGCATGTGAGTTGACTTGGCGTTTGAACTCTTTGGCGTTGCTAACACGAGTATCAGTGCTTCCTACTGGGTCTAAGATCGAAAGAATCTCACCTCATGGCTTCTCAAATTGGAACCAAACTGCTCGAATCCACACGCTGAACACAATCGGCGAAGCAGTCTCATACTTTCTGAAGGTCGGTAACCTATTGCATGGTAATTCTTGCTAAGCCTAACCGCCGTCCAGGTCTCCTGTGGCGATGTAGGTAAGGGTATGATGCTTGGGGAGTTTACTTCAATGTCAGCCCTTCACGAAAACATGCCAGATCTCGTTCCGCAGCCGATTGGTTGGGGCACCTACGCAAAAGATGCTAACACTCACTTCTTCATATGCGCATTCCGCGAGATGACTGGAGAAGTATCTGGTGAGGCATTAGCCGCAGATGAAAGCACTGGAGAATCTCAGAGTAAACTGGGTAAAGAGCTTCAACGCATTAGCGACTTCACTGCCCAGATCGCCCGCCTGCACAAAACCGCGCTTTCCCCAACAGGAAGATTCGGCTTCCCCGTCACGACATACGGCGGAAGACTTCCCCAAGACACCACCTTTTGCGATACTTGGGAAGAGAGCTTTACTCGTGGTATACAGCGGATGTTCAATCTCGAAGAATTACAGCATGGCCATGACAAAGACATGGTACAGCTGCGCGCTCTGGTTGTACACAAGGCGATACCGCGATTGTTGCGGCCTCTAGAGACCAAAGGAAGGAGCATCTCAGCATGCTTGGTGCATGGCGATTTGTGGGATGGCAATGGCGGAGTTGACAGAAACACGCGGAAGCCAGTCATCTTCGATGCATGCTCGTCATACGCGCATCACGAGTGTAAGCATCATGAGCTTGCGGTTTGGCAGACACTGACCATAGTCACCGGACATCAGACGAGCTAGCTCCCTGGCGACTCAAGCGTCACAAGATTAGCGGAGTTTACATAGCCGAATACCTCAAGCACTACCCGGCGTCCGAGCCGAAAGAGGACTTCGAAGCCAGACACGCTTTGTATTGCATGTAAGTTTCGCTGATACAGCGTATGACGTCCAGTCGAACTCAGCTCACGTCTCCGTAGAAGGTTCAATCTCTGCTCGTCGGCACTATACCCTGGAGAGCTCAAGTATCGTGAATTGTAGGATCTTTCCATACATTCGAGAGAGACTTTACTAAGCTCCCGCAGTGTCAAGGATGAGATGAAGGCGCTCTTGTTGAGCCTGTTCGGCGATCTCGAACATGCGAAGGTGTGGCAGGATACTGCAGTCACGGGATGGGGTGATCGACCGAGCAAGTTGTGATGATAGTTTTCTCCACTTGGATACGGAAATGTTACATCGTCAAATCTTGGAAATAAAAGAAACACGAAGTGAGCGCGTAGCCTCGCGGAGCGTTCAGTCAAGACATCGGCCGCCTGCGACCGGAGAAACACGTAACGTGGACCCAGTAACCAAGAAAATATGACGTTGGAAGCGACAGAAGAATGCTCGGTGCGCAAAGAAACCCCTCAAGATCAAGCAGCCACTTAGTAGTTGACCTCTGACTCGCAATCGCCGCCATTACCGATCTCAAGACCGTCACCAGCGGCAGATCGCAAAGCATCGGTAACGGTTCTCTTGTATGGCAAGCGAAGACCCAGATCCAACAACAGACTCGCATGCCACTCGTGCCCATCCAAAGCTTCGTACTTGAAATCCCATTGGCTCATGTCGATACCTTTGCTGTCGCCCAGTGAATTTTCGTATCTCAATTCGCTGTACACGGCCTGTTGGGCTGCGAAGGCCGTGCGCAGCTTTTCGCCGTGGTCGTTCCTGAGCCATCCCGCCCCCCAGATAGATGCGGTGCACTTCTCTCCGTTTTGGCAGTTCTCGATCTTGCACCATGCTTTCGGTGTGGAAGGCCGCTGACCCGTGGGTGTGATGGTGAATCTCCAGCCGTTGATCTCGAACTCTCCACCAGCCTTCCAGCCCACTGGGTTTTTCGATTTGTCGTTATTGCACTCGTCTGATATCTTGTGAAGATTGGTCTTGCACTCTTCCACGGTAGGTACAGGCCCCGCGGTGAGTCTGCTGGTGACGCCAATCTCGACTGCCTCGGGGGTACTTGGGAAATAATGCCCAGTGCCGATAGAGCCAGTAGCGCCTTCTAACTTGGGACAGTAGGTGTTGTCGATAAGATCGAGGAGCGCGTCTTTTGCAACATACTTGTTTTCCAGGTCATTGCAGGACAGCTCGGAGGTAGGTGTTGCAGTGCCCTCAAGACCTTGGTACGCAGCAAAGAATGCATTCTTGTAGGCCTCGTGGCCTTGAACGGTAGGGTGGAAAGTCCGGAGGAGCCACAGCCAGAGCGATGCCGCATCGGGCTCGTTTGGATTATCGGTTGCGACGTTGTTAGGAAGGGCCAAGAGATCAATTGATGTTCCGTTCTGGGCCTCGTTTGCGATTAAACATGTGAAATAGTTTCCAGGTCCTCCACCACTATCCAAGATGGCTTGGCAGTCGCCGGAGGGTGTGGTATCGCTGACAGTGAAGTTTGTCTCTACCTTGGTGTAGAATTCGCAAGGAAAGAACCAAATGTTCTTATTTCGATAGCTCGGTTCTTTGACACCCTCCTCGCAGAAACGGTGCCCTTCGAAGTACGGGTCTGTATCAACATATGTTATCCTGCCACTTTCAGGCTGATTTGCATCAATAACTGATTGGATCTTCTCGTTGAGCCTGAGGTTCAGCTCGTTCATCTGTGTCCGCTGATCTTTCGTGAGTGGCAAGAACTTCTCATCTTGGCACCAGAGCTCGAAAGTGACATTGTTGCAATATTCGGTATCCTGATTGAAGAAACGCGGGTAGCCAGTGATGAATAGATTAGTCCCCGGCGCGTTTTCAAAGATCGCTTTGATAGTCTCTCAGAGGTCATCGGGAAAGTTTCCGTTGACACCATCAATTCTATCCCGTACTTGGGTGATTGCTTTCGCGCAATCTTCAGAGCAGTCGGGTGAAGAGTCGCATCCATTACACCAGAAATCCCAAAAGCGATAGACACACTAAGTGTTATGTCAATATGGAAGAACTCAACTCATATTCTGAACTTACTTGATCAAGCAGGTAGCTGAACCCGACGTCATTTCCACCGATCGACAATGTAACAAGCTGTGGATAGAAGCCGTTGATGCGCTGGGCTTGCGGAAGTGGGGTCGGGATGGGGTCGCTTGCATCGTTTAGGTCTTCAGACTGTGGTTCTTTGAAGACGTGCTTGGTCAGGGCTCCTGTGCAAGCAATGAAACCGAATGCGTCGATAGTGTCCCTGCCCTTGCGCAATATATCATCAGCGGCGACTTGGCGAGTCCAAGAGCCTTCGTGGCGATGGCACCAAGTTTCTCTACCATGGTCGTATTCAGGACCAGCACCTGGACCCGCAGCGAAGGAGTCTCCGAGAGCTGCGTAACTGTCGACTTGAAAGCCATCCCGGGATTGTAGGCGATGCCCCACGAGGGCGGCGGAGGAGGTTTGCCAAGCTGCTGCTAGGATGAGAAGCTTCTGTAAGAGCATCTTGATCAATTTCTGTGTAAATTAAAGATGAAGAGCACTGTTGATGGCCAGCTATAAGTTCCTGAGGATGTATGCTTATATGCAAATGTCTCTTCACGCGCCTGTGAAGACAAAACCCCATGTCGCGGCGTGGTTCGTGAGGATACACAGAGTACGTTGTTTGAAGTTGAGACACTTAGAGGTGTACAAGCCCCTAAAGCTGACCCGACTCCGAGTTGCTATGCCACTGAACTGCCTGATGCATGTAACGAAGTCGACGAGGACCGCAAATCGTGCTTTTGAACACTGTTCGCGGCACGGCAGCAGGACAGAAGGGGCTGTTGATTTAGCATGCCAGCCTAGACAGCTGACGGTAGGGACGCGATATACTGGCATCGTCTGTCATATGCTGCTTATCCAGCATCTTTCGATCATCGCGCGTGCTGCATTGTGGGTTACTGCGGCATGCTCAGAAGTGTCTGCCAAAATGTAGTGACGTTGCCACATTCATCAGTGATACTAGCCCCAATCATGGCGAGGGCGAGATAATGCTGTCCACTGGGTTCGGTAATCAGCTATAGTGCTCGCGAGTGAGTCTTGGTCAAGTCGGTGACAACAATTCCGTGGAACACACTCGCATCTTTTCGGAATAGCATACGGCGTTGTCAGCGTTTCATGATTTAGAAATTTAGTGAAATGAGACCCTCCATTGCTGTATACCTACGGCACATACGACCCTCACGCTGCATATCGACAAGGCTATCCTGCAGGGGCTGAGGTATTCCGAAAACGTTGCATTTGTTGACATCGCATGGGTATCAGCTATTTTCATAGCGATTGCCGTGACTTCAAGAAAGCGCATCCTCGCATAATATAGTCCACTCTGGGTGGAGGGAGCACCATATAGTCTCGGTAGTTGCGCATGTGTGAAGGAAGCATGTATGGGCCCAAATGCGAAGAATCTGGCCAGACGGACCATCCAGATGGAAAAGCGGCAAAAGCGAAAATTACCTGCACAATTCGTTTCGCCAGATATGCGTGTTTCATGGCATTAGAAGCGGTCGCGACTTGGTTCGGGGCGCAAAGGAGGTACGCTTTCTACGCGAAGTGAAAACCAATGTGAGCGCAGACCTGCAGGTGGTTTATGACGACATGACCCTGCCAAGACACTAGCCCCAAGCAACAAGGAAGTGCCACCGTGCCATTTCAGGCCCCGGGGCCGCAACCAACTTCAACCGTAGTACGGAAGGGGCCACAACTCTGGGGCTATCCTACGGCACAGAAACAGTAATCTATACCGATACGACTTGAGACATTGGGGGCCGCTCATCCCGTCGAAAGTACTGCATCGATCTCGGGACGATGTTTGCTGACACTGCGCCGCAAAGGCACGGCGACTGAACTGAACACACGCTCCAAATCTCATGATGCTGTTGAGAAAGAGTAGTGAGCTCACTTAGCTCACACTACTGTCTGACTCTTCTTCTCGCTATCCATCGGGGCTCCTAACGACATCCATGAATATGTCTCCCAACTTCCATCTGTTCTTTGCATACGCTTTAACCTTCTGGTTACAACACTCCGAAGCTTCCCCTGGAACGTCAGCCGACATTACCACCGTCGGTTTCGCACTCACGATCGACCATGCTACTGCTACAGTTCGCCACAACAGCACATTCTTCGAGGACCTGGCTAAAGTGGAAGCTTGTGAAGAATATATTAAGTTGATGAAGCTATTCTCGTTGGAGTCTTCCCAGCATCCCAGGTTTGTTCTCTCATCATCGCATATGTACAAGATATAAAGCTGATCGTCGCCCAAGCCCACCGTACGCATCACTTGGTGATCTATGGAACGACATACCTCGCCAAAGAGAACGAGCCGCACGCAAAGAGAAAGGACTTCCTGCTTCGTCGGAGGTGGCCGTGATTGCAACATTACTCAAAGCCATCGCGGATGTCGCCCAAGCATCTGTGGGTGCTCCTATCGCCGCTCTAGTGAGCTTCCCTGCTCTGCCTGGTCTATATCAAGAGGACATAGTCGACGCTGCCTATTACATCGGTCTTCCAAAGTTGGCGAGAGGCCATGCGGATCATCCTCACGAGATGGTTGCCGCGTACGCAGGTTACGGCTACGGCTTGTGCCAAAGCTACAACCGTGTGAATCGATGCTTACCGGATCGTGGACACGACTTCCCATCGCGTGCTGTGCTATTGATCGAGTACACTGAAACTGCACTGCTATTGCACTTGAACACCTTGGGTAAAGCGGTTGAACTGTCGTGGCCGAACATGTACTTGGATCTTCACTTCGATCTTGGTAGTTCGACGACACCGGACGAGCAGGATGTTCGTAATAGTGTACTCCGCTTTCTGTACCACCATTACAACGAGCGACTGAAGGAAGGACCGCCGAACATGACCGTCATTCTGGTGGGCGACCCCACGAGCGCTAGTGATGGCAAGGTGCAGCGCGCAACAACGATTGTGCTTGAAGCTCTCGGGGCGCACGCCGACGTCTTAGCCGAGAACCCGGCGTATATGGCAGCCAGGGGTGCTGCAGAGATGGCGTGGCGCACATTTGATGTGGAAGAAAGAATGGAGTTATAGCTCTTGGTTTAGGGCTCGCGATACTTCTCATTCACGATGATCAGATGGATGCTGTGGATGCAACGAACGAGGATGTGCATCCGCTAGTCTCCTCGCCGCTTCCTTCACTAGCTACCTTTCCGCTCTTATTAACATTTGAAGCACATTCTCCTTGCAATTTTCGCGACTCCAAAAGAAGAAAGCCGGCAAATCTCAATTGTGGATAGCGGTCCAGTCGTGAGATTTGAAATGCTGCACAACCGGAATCTTATCGCTGCAGAAGAGTGCTCAGTTTGTGAAGTTCCGCTGAACTTGTGGCACAGAGACAGTGAATGGCCTGAAGCAAGCCGAGTTCCGCTTTTGAAACGATTGGGGCGAAGCACGCTCAGCTATAGAGCTGTGCCACATGGGCACACCAGCGTTGCCTAAAGGCATCTCCAATGCTGTGATTTCCCTCCAACTCACTGAAGCTTAGCAATCACTATCACGCCGAAGATGGTTTCCGTCATCCTCGCACTGGCTCTGTGGCCCTTACTAGTCGCATGCACTCAGACCATCCTTTTCCTGGATGAGACAGCATCCAACCGGCCGACGGTCGGCTTCGCCTTAACTGTAGATCACGTCGTCGCATCTGTTCGTTGGAACAATGTCTCAACAGAAGATTTGGTAGAGCTAAAAGCTTCCGAAGAGTACATCGAACTCATGCGACAATTCTCACACCAATCGTCTCGACACCCAAGGTATGGCCCCAACCGCCGAGTAATCTAGTAGCAATCTAAGCGACTACTAAGACCGGTAACAGCCCTCCATACCACAGTCTCAAGGACCTGTTTGATGACTGGCCCCGCCAAGCAAAACGATCCATGCGAAAGAAACTCGGCCTCCCAGCATCGAGCGAAGTGGGCATCATAGCCAAGGCCCTGAAGCCCGTTATCGAAGTAGCCGAAACGTATGCTGGCTCCCCGCTGTCAGCCTTGATCAGCTTTCCGGCATTACCAGGTCTTTATCAAGAAGACATCGCGGATGCGGCGAGCTATGTCGGCCTCGCGAAGTTGGGTCCCTGGCTAGAGGCATCTCATCCGCACGAAGACGTCGCCGCATACGCAGGAAACGGTCTAGGTCTCTGTAAAGACTACCACAACGAAGAGAAATGCCGCGAAGAGGGGAAGAATTTCACGTCTCGCCATACGCTACTGGTCGAACACACTGAGTCCGCGCTTCTTCTACACCATAACATCCTTCGCGAACCGATCGAGACATCGTACCTATATATGGATCTTGCAACCTCATTCGACTTAGGCAGTGCTCATGAGCCCGACGAACTGGACATACAAGATTTTGTCCTAAGTTTCTTGTATCACCAGTATTACTACCCGACGCCTCACCTTCCCGACTCAATTACTGTGATGATGACGGGTAGTCCCGAAAGTCTTAGCGATGGGAAAGCTCGGAGGGTTACAAAGCGTGTCATCGAGGCGCTAGGCGCAAAAGCTGAAGTGTTAGAAGAGAACCCTAGCTTCAAAGCTGCAAGAGGCGCAGCTGAGCTGGCATGGCGAGCGTTGAAGTTCAGTGAAGGGTTGCAGTCGTGAGATTAGACATCGTTGAAACGGCCGCTGCAGGCCTTTTTCCATTTCGCTCTCACCTGGACTAGGGTAGACTTCAATGAACTGTGCAATCGTATACACGTACTCATACGTTTCGGCATACATAAAATACATTGTTTTGGTGACCGTGTCAGTGCAAATATGTGGGCACAACCGTGGTCCGAAAGAACAGCGTATGATCGCAATGCTGGCGGATTTCTATGAGACATTGTATCTGCTGCATGCAGCTGTATATAACACACCAATCATGGGCATGATCGTGAGATACCTGTCTAGCCACACAGTCTGCAGATTCTAGCGAGATAGGTGGTGGAAGCGGAATGACTTGGCAACATATCACGATTTTTGCATGTCTCATGTTGTAGGAAGCAGCAAGCTAGTGAGGGGCGAAAATTTAGGGGTGACGATCTTTGAAGTGGATTATTGTACGTGCCGCTATGTAGGGGCCGACTTCCTACAGGCAGGCACCTAGGTCATGGCGCTGTCAAGACGGCCAATAGGACTACGGCTTGGGAAAGAATAGAGTGAGCCTTTGACTCAGACTGCGGTCTGGTCCTAGGTTGGGCTGGGTCTTTGAGATTGTACTTTGGTATACGGTATGATTGCAATAGCTTTGATGTTGTTCGCTGGAGTGCTGTCTGGTGTCTACGGCTTGGGGCTATACCGTGGCACAGAAACCCAACTTTGTAATACTTTCACTTGAAATATGGAATGCGCCCAATTGTCTGCCGAAGACGCCATGTCTACGATGTTGCGAAAACATTGTGCCGCATGAGTACAACGAACATTCCACAACTGGCACGGATGAAGTTCATCGCTCTTAGATGTTCTATTGGGACCAATGACGTGGGAAATATCTGTCCAAACCGTCTTTTACATAGTCTCTGGAATCTGAAATGGTGAAAAATCAAGATCAGTCGGTTCACCCAAGATCAATTGACTCATCAACTTCCCCGTGCCCGGTCCAAGTGTCAGTCCCCAAGACCCATGCCCCAGCACAAAAATACATTGCCACCTCTCTCATCTGCACGAAACCCGTTGTATGTCGAGAGTTTATCAGGCTCGACCAAAGCCATCATCGGGCGCCCTGAAAGCGTAACAGGTCGAAACGCCCGCCCAAGCGCAACAACCTCCAACTCCTCGAACGCGTCCAGATCGCCAGCGTTGTGCACGCAAAGAAAATGGTAGGCACGACCTGTGAGTTCCGCAATCCTTGCAGCATCTGGAAGACCTCTCGAGCCTAATGGAGGTAGCGTGCCCTTGTGATCTTTCGCTCCGCAAACCCAGATCGTTCCATCGTTACGACCTGCGAATTCCAACTTCTCTCCCACGATATCATTCAGGCCCACAAAAGCCACCGAGTTCTTCGCGACAGGATTCGGGTTTCGGAAGATGATCCAATCACCTGCTTCTGTGGCTGAGTCGATCTGGATTGAGGAGGAGGGGAACAGCGTTTTGTAGACCATCGGAGTCCATGGGCCCCCGGCTAGAACGAAGTTGTCGCATGGGATTCTGACTGAGGATGAGTCTTCTCGAATAACGGTTACTGCAGTGGCTCGGTTTCCTTGGTCCAACTCGACGGCAGTGACCTTTGTAGAGGTCTGAATGCGAACATCCATGTCGATACATGCTCTTTCAAGCCATTTACCGAGGCCGACTGGGTTACTGCAATGAACTTGATTAGTATGAGAAGGTGATACATCTACAGCATGCTTACACCATTGCGTTCTCTGCCCCCAAGAACTCGGTGTCCACCCTCCACGCATCGCTTTTTCGAAGCCAGTCCGGCAAAAGCTCTTGACCATCTCCGTCGTTCTTGGTCAAACCGAAAATGGAATCGAAGCGGAGTCCAGCGGCGTCATACAGCTTGTTGCTCTCTGCGGCCAAGTCACGCCAGGCTGCGAAGCTGTACTTCCCAAATTCGTCCATGATCTCATCGTTGAATTTGTAGTGGATGCATCCAGTGCAGGTCCCGGATGTCTCTCCGAATGCGCTCGCTGATGCTTCTATGACGATGATGGTACTGCTGCTCGAGAGACCGGTTCGACGATTTGCGTGCGCGAGATGATAGGCAGTCCACAGACCGATGGATCCCGCGCCTACGATGACGGTGGTCTTATTATCCGCGGACATTTCGTCAGCCTCGCTGGAGGTGAACAAGGATGTTGAGACGATGCTCGATCTTTCAGGAATGTGTCCGCCGGTGGGGTCAAGGGCGGGGTGGATGAACTCTGCTGGCCTCTGGCTCTTGAAATGAGTGCACGTGGGCAGACAATGGGTAGCTTAAAGAACTAAGCGATGGGAAAGTCGAAAGGGCGACAAAGGTTGTTATTCAGGTCGAGCATTGGGAATAAACGAGAAGATAGAGTCTTGAAAATGCAATGTGCAAGGGTAAAGTAGTCGTTTGCTCGATAGCTTCAAAGGGGCTACCTTCAGCATATCCGCGTCGCCGGATCATGATTATAATCAAACGCCTTCAGCAGCGCCACCAAATGCAGCGCCGCACCCCCCACAGCACAAAGATGAAAGATCTGATGTGAGCAACCCCAGATATCGAAGAGTCCCGGGCGAAATCTCTCCGGGAAGCGGATCTGTGAAGAAGCGTTAGCAACAATGCACCCTGATAATCCACCTTCTCTTTCTACTCACCGCATAGATAAAAGCCCCCGTAATATAAAACAGCCCCTCAAAAATCATCAACCGCCACCCCATCTGCCTATCCGCCTGCTCTTTGCCAAACGCCTGAGCCGCATGCGTCATCGGCACCGCACCCGACCAGCCAATCGCACAAAACAGCGTCGCCCTCGCCCACCTCCATTTCGGCGTGCGGAACCGAGGAATCGAACAAAGCGTTGCCGCACCCGTGACAATCGAAGTAATCCCAGCGGAATACAACACCCAGTATTGTTTCTGACAATAAAATCCGTAATACGTCCCTGAATACACCGTGCCTACGATCAGCACGAAGATGCCGTAGAGGTCCAATTGCAACCACGTATGATACACTTTACTGCTGTGGTTGCCAAACATGTGGAACGTAGCACTGACGCCAAAACACACCACCGCACTCCCCACGAACACCCCAAAAGCCAGTAAATCATTGATATCAGCAGTTTCGTAACGGCTGCTAATATTGCTGTAAGCGTATATGGCGTAGAAGAGGATGAAGACAGCGCCGATGAGATGCGTGTAAATATTCCCAGTCTGGTTATGCAGATACGACAAGCTCTTCAGACATTCGCGGTAGGAATTCGTGGTGCAACGGTAATGGTTCTTGAGGTACTCGTTGTCGCGTTGCCAAGGGTGGACTTCTTGGAAGGTGTAGAGTGTGCGGCTTGGCGCCGGGGGCGCGGAGGCGGAGCGTTTGGTTGGGGTGTTTGTTGTGAGGGGGGTTAGGTAGGTTGTTGACATTTTGGCGGCGGGGGATTGGGGGTGCTGATGATGTTGCTGTTGGAGGGTTTTTTCCTGGAGTCCACCGGGTTGAATCAAGGAGATAAAGAGAAAGGAGACAAGAAAAGCGTAAATGAGGAACTGTCAACGAGGGCGATGCGCATCCTTGTACTCGTATGTCCACCTCTTGCGTCTGCTCGCAATTAAAGCAAAGACCTCAGTCAACACCTATCGTTCGGTCAAATCAAAATAATCCCACAAAGTCGCTATGTATCGTGTGAAGTCCCCAAACAAGAAACAGCGAGCTCCCACGGTACTTAAAGGGACACCTGTGGCTCGGGCCCAATCCAGACCCCCTTGACAGGTACATAAGCCTTGTGGCAGTGCAACCGCACCGGGCGGAACGGCATAATGAACCACCAAGCGTCCCCTCAAAGGAGCAGGAGAGAACCTGGAACCGGGAAAGCGGGTACCTACGTAGCAGATAACACATGTGTGTGGGCTAGATCAAAAGGGGGTACACGTGGGGAGATGCCGAGGCGCGTTTGATTGGTGGAGCCACGCGTCCCTGTCAGCACCGACAATGGCACAAGCCAGCAACTTCATTTCAGAGAACAAGCAAATGATAATTTCTCAACAGCGTGCAATAAAACGATCCGAGAACATTGAGGAATGAGCATATTCGTGCATAAAGGTAGACATGACATTTTGTTGTAAAGGAGGGGTATATAACCAGAGTATCGCATCGCATCGCCTAGTGTCGTATATCGTATATCGTATCGTATCGCGTAACATTCCGTAATATGTACTCGAGCAAGAAGAAGAGGAGCAGCAGGAGAGCGACGTTGCACTCTCAATCAGAATGCCAGTCACTCGCCTGGCTCTCTCCAAACTCGCTCCTATAGCGCCTACACAACCAAAAAGTCAACACACCAGCACTCGAACAAGATAGAAACAGCGGAAACATAAAGGAGCACTGGTGACAGCGAGACACAAAGCAAATCGCACTTACTCATCCCTTCCGCCCCCGTTTTCACTGCTCTCGCCCTGCATGCCCAGTTTGCTTGCGTCCAATTTTGCTAGGCCGCTCTCGCCGAGTGTGTCTCCGCCCCAGCCCTCCTTCTTGCCCTCGATGAGCATTTTCATCATGTCCTTCAGTTCGCTGACCTCTTTCCTCAGCTGCCTGACTTCCAACACCGCAGTGTCGAACTCGACATTGGGACGCGAGGCCTGAACCTTCTTGTCCCAGCCGTCGGCTTCAAAGTCACAGCCATCAAGGACTTGTTCCCACTCCATGGTTGTGTCTTCGTCGTCTTCGCCGCGGCGGCGGTTGTCTCGGACGACCCAGGCTTCTTGTTGTTCGAACATGGCGGTGATGACGAGGAGGGGCGAGTAGATTACTGCCATGACCTGAGTGGTGTCAGTTTTCTGCGGATGTAGAGCGACTTGAAAATGCGATGTGGAATATGCTGTGATCAGTACTAGGTGATAATTGTCTCATAGCCGAAGCTCTGAAGTAGCAAATACATAGAAATCATCATGTAAACAGCGGAAAAGAGTACTTGTGCGAGGGGTAAGGACGTACCATATCGTTGAGCTTGTCGTAGCGCTTCTCATCCATCCACCACTCAAATGGCAGAATCAAGAAGAACATTTCGATGAGGTTGAAGGGAGCGATGAAGACGTTCTCGTCGGGAGCGCGAACAAATTGCATCGTCTTCTGCGAGAAGAGAGCCATGTACTCGTCGATGGCGTTCTGTGTGATGTCTTCGTAGGCCGAGTTGTAGAGAGCGATGAGGACGTTGAGCAGGATGACCATGACGACGAAGGTAAAGATGTAGTAAAGGATAATACCGAAAGGAGGCTGCTACTTGTTAGCTCGTGTCTGAGTTTGGTGTCATACAATGTGACATACCGAGAAGTTGTCGAAGCCTTCAAACTCAGGAGATTGCATGACAGCGTTCAACATGGCTTGGAACACGAAGACAGTGTCGTTAGCAAGCTGATCGTCCGCGATATCCAGACCGATGAAGGCCTGGAAGAAACCAATCATGACAACAAGGAGTAGCATGAAGAAGATGAGCGACTCGCGCATCATGACCTTGAGCACGACGAGCATGGCACCGAAGAAGCGGAAGGTGTCGAGGTACAGCAGCAGACGCATCCAGAACATAGGCGCAGTGAAAGCCAGGAAGTCGTAGCTCATCTTGTTCAGATACTCGCGTCGAGTGTCCTTCTCGTCACTGATGGGGTGTCCAAGAGCCACCATGCGCAAGACGAAGCTGACCGTGAGAAGCGAGTACAAGGTGCTGTTGAACATGTTCCAGAAGGAGATGTAGAACCGTCCGACCTTCCAAAACTTGTTCGCCTCATCGCAGATGAAGCCCAGAGTGAAGAGGTACAGCAGACCTTCGACGACATCCAGGTCACCCGACGGATTGATGGTGTTGATAGCACCGGTGTAGAGACCCAAGAAGATGATGGACACGGCAATCTGCACCCAGTTCTGGTACTTGGGGACGCGCATGCGATCGGGGTCGAGATGGGCCCAGTAGCTGGTGTTGGTCTTGTTCTCGTATGTGACGAAGCGACTGGGGTCCTCGTCGTCCTGGACTACCCAGCCGCGCCAGAGGTAGTTGATGCACTTTTGGTAGCCGGATGATCCGATGACCGTTACGGCGTGGAGGTCGACGGCCTTTTCGACGGCATTGGCGGGTGTGGTTGGCTCTCCGTCGATGAGTGTCGAGTAGCGCTTGAGTAGCACCTCCTCGAACAGGTATGTAGTATCCTCTTCGGCCTCAATCAGGCGCTTGGCCATAATCTCTGCCGCCACGGCGCGGACTTCGTGGAGGTCGGCATCCCAGAGCTCCGCGGTCGCTTGTTTCTTAAACCACTTCTTCACTTGCAACAGGCAGAAGACCACGCAGGCATTGTGTTCAGGAGCTCCTGCTTGCTTGGCCGTCTCAAGCACCTTGTCGGTGATGATGCTGCTATGCGCCTTGGTGATCTGCTCCTCTTCGAGCTCGCACGGTACGACTTGCTCTATCTGGTGCTTCAATCGCAGAGCTACAATGGTAACGTCTTCGGGGTCGATAGGCGGGGGAGGAAGGTGTTCGCGACGCGACGTGGGAAGAACTGGGAGGTGTTAGTACTGGGATTGATAGGAAAGATAAGAAGACATACGCGCGCTCATCTCATCCTGCACTCTGTGTCGCCTATCGCCATCCCCACTGAATAACTCGTTCCACCGCACCATGATCGCGGTGTATATGCGTCAGCGCTGTCTCGTGCAGGTCAGTCAAGCTTCACGAGAGCTATGTCGAGCTCTGGAAGTGCCCAGCAGCGAAGTACCGAGGTAGCGTCAGGCTTGGAAAAGCAAAACTGTGCAACACAACAAGATGCACACTCAGCAAAGGACCTGAGCAGAGAAGAAGCTGCGGTGACAACGCGACAACAAAGCAGCAGGACCCACGATAGACCGGGTTCTCGAGGCTAGTGTTGGCTAAAACCTGGCTGGCAACGCTGGGCGCGCTCCACCAGTCCAGCCAGCGTCATCCCGCTCCACCCTGCGAATGGCCCAAGCTCTCTCCTGCTGCCGAATTAATCCCAAGCCGTTGCATCCCAGACCACGATTGAGACATGGGACTTGAGTGCATATTCATTGTTGATTTGCTGCTGAATCCGCTTGTTCTAACACTCCCTCTATGCGCAAACGCATATATGCATGTGGCTGAAGACAAGGTGTTGTACATGTCGAGACGCCTTTGCATGCATGCTCGTGAACCACCATATCGACGCCTCAAACGCCCATGCCCACTTTTCGCAGATACCCTTGGTCTTCATTATCATCGTTGCTCGTATGCAAATATCCTCTCCCAGCCGCTTAATCGGCCTCAGCAACACCACCCTCATCGCTCGTGCTCTCGTCCTCGTCACCGCTGACTTCCTGGTTCTCACGCTCACGCTTCTCCATGAGCGCAGCCAGCTCGGCGTCGTCGTTCTCGGTGACGGCCTTGGGTGCCATCTTGACCTGACAGTCGCCTCCGGCCTTTGAAATGTTCTCCTTGATGTCGACGATGGCTTGTTCGAGGCATGCGATACCGGCGCTCTTGTCGAGACATTGCGAGGTGAGGACTGCAGGAGTTAGTTGAGAATGGGGATGTATGCAGCGCGATCACGTACCGTAAAGAGGTGGCGATACGAGCTTGACCTTGACCTGGTTCTCGGGGGTGTTCTTGGCCTCGGCGCATCGCAGGGCGGTCTTGACAGCGTCGATACCCTCGTATCCGAAGCATGTGACTATGGACGTTAGCAAAGACGTCTACATGACTTATGCTCCTCCAACATACCCTCAATGTCTGACCGGACCTTGGTCGGCTGCGGTGTCAGCCTCTTGCCAATGTAGCTCTGCAACTCCTCCTTGACAACGTCGTTGGGGAATGTGACATCGTTCCAGACCTCGGGGTTCGTAATGCTGAGCTTGAAGGCATCGATCGAGTGTCCGTACTTCTTGTTCAGCGGCCAGCCGATGGTCTGGTAGATCTCCTCGATAGGTGTTTGGGTCTTCTCGGCGACGTGGCGCATGATGCTGTGCACCATCTTTGACTTGTTGTATCGCTCCTCGCACTTTACAATGTCCTCAGGCGACACTCGGCGCTTCGACAGATCAATGTAACCCTTGTCCTTGTCTACACGGAGTACGACGACGACTTCGTTGCGGCCAACTCGGATGAGCTTCTGGATGGATCGGATACGTCTTCGCGAGAGTTCGGAAAGCAGAATCATGCCGTCGATGTTGTCTAAATGGTTAGCCTTGCTGCCCATGCCTTTGCTACATCCTCAACCCACCATATTCCAGCAGCTTGACGTATGCGCCCATCTCGGCGATCTGCTTCACGTTGACCATGACGAAGCTCTCCACCTCCGGGTACTTCTCCTCGTAGAATCGGCAATTCGTTAGAGACATGGTGAATATGTGCTCCTGCTCGTCTCCTGTGTGGTGTTGGGTAACGTCGCTCGACTGTCGCGAGGTGGGGTCGCTTTTAGATTGTTCTTTCCTTTTGGGGTGGAGTTTCCAGAGGTCAGGTGTATTGGTGAGCGAGAAGAAGTTCTTGCTGCGCAGAGTGGATAAGCGTCGGTATGCTGGGCTTGGGCCGAGTGGAAGCGTGAAAGTAGTTTGGCTCGTAGTGACTGAAAGATTTGCCCACTCACTGTGTGAGATCGCCCGCCGCCGTGGGGCAACGCACGCCATTCCGCTTTCGGCAACGCGCCATCCCTGTTGCGCCTGCCGCGACCGACCTCACCACATTCACACGTCCACGATTGCAGCGCGAGAATGTCTTTCGTCGATGCTCTGCCTTACTGAGAGAGAATTTTGATCACGGTGAGAAGACATGTAGAATGAAAAGAAACAGGAAGTACAATACAGAATATACAATCAGGTTCAAAGAAAGTCGTGGAGTCGGGAATCATGCAAAGGCGTCAGCGCCAGTGCATTGCAATCTTGCTGGAACGTAAGAGAACGCTATAAGTAAGACAAGTCACATAAACAGGCAAGGTTTGGGTCATGAATTTCATTACCGAGAAACCCGTAATTCCCCGTCATCTAAATTCCAAAGACGGAACATGTACATCAATCATTCATCACCAATCCCACCGGTTTCCAGTCCGAAAACTCCAAACCCCAATCAGTGAAACAATGAAACGGTTAGGCGCCAAAGAGAGCCATCAAGACACCACCAGCCAGAAGGGCAGCGCCCACATTGCTGGCATCAGCGGCGTCAGTGAAGGGAGGAAGGACGGGCTTCGACATGGAAGCACTAGGACGACCAGTTCCAGTCGCGGTCGCAGTCATGGTGGTGTTGAAAGTGGGGAATGAGTGCGAGGGCGTGGAGAAGCCAGAGGGCACGTGGCGGGAGTGCTCAGAGGGCTTGACCGGCGTTCCAGTGATGATGGACACACTGAAGTCGGGGGTAGCAGCGCTGGATGAAGGCGAGACGACGGTCTCGGTCACCTCCTTGGTTGACGTGAGGCTCTTGGTCAGAGTGGGAGGAGGCTGTTTCCCATGTGTTAGCTGGCTGTTGGGTGATGGGCGGATCAGGAGAGAGGGGGGCTTACAGTGGCAAAGCTCGGGGGCGTCTTGCAGCCAGTGATGGTAGTAGTGTGAGTGCCGCCATGGGTGACAGTGTGAACGTCGCTGATGCAGGACTCAGACGGGAGAGGCTTCTCAGTCATTGAGGACAATGACGAAGGGATAGACGTCTGGATAGTCATATCCTTGGTAGAAGAAGACTCGGTCAGCGTCTTAACTCCGGTACCGCTAACAACAGGAGGCGCAGTGACCGTGACAGTGCTAGGAGGACCAGACGCGGTGACAGTCAAGGTGTTGCAGTGAGTGCTAGACGAAGTCGGGACCGGGTCGACGAAGGTGACTGAAGTCACGAGCTGGACGGACGTGACGACAGAGCCGACATTCGAAGAGAAGTCGGTGCTCGAGAGAGCGACGTTGAAGAGCGCGGTGGCCGCGAGAAAATTCTTGAAGATAGCCATTGCAGTGTTTGGTATTTGTTGTTAGGTGTAAGTGAGTGTGGGTAAGAAGTTCGAAGGGATTGCTTGAGGAGCTTCGAAAGGGCGGTGGAGTAGAGATTGAGTTGCTTTAAACGAGTGTAGAGTAGAAGCGATGGGTTAAGAGAAGGTGAGGGCGGGGTATCGCTCTATTTATCTACGGAGGCGGGCGTTTGTTTGTGCGGGCAGTGGGCCGAGCGTGTTTTGATAGCGCCAAGGCTGCAGTGCGGGTGAGGCGATTAGGCAGAGGCAACGCGTCCGCTGTCCTTGAGTGTGAATGTGAAAGCGTTCGCGTGGGAACTTACCCATCGCGTTGGCGTAGCGACACCGCGCGACCGGGTGGTGGCGTCAGTGTAGGTGAGATAGTGCAAATGAAAAATGAAGAACCGCCATATGTCAGAAGAGTGTGGCAAAATAGATACTTTGGACACTTCGATAGTATTACATTATGAGCACCTATGTATACAGCTCAAACGCTGTGGTCAACTATCAACAGCAAGCATGCAATGATGTACCTGCCCAGACCGCCCACCGCCGTGCTGAGTCCTAAACGCTGAAGACTCAGTACGCCTATCAAGAGCAATAATCCATACACGATACAAGCCTTCATAACACCTTAGACCATCCTCCTCTTATGTATTAGTATTACCCCGACCACAGTTCCCATTCTCACCACTCTCCTCGAGTCTGAAGTCGGCATTGTCGCCCTGGATTCGCTCAATCTCGTTCTGTATTGCAAGTACCCAATGGTCTCGCTCTGCACGCGATCGCGCCCTAAAGACCACGCTACGGCCTTTACTTCCAAGCTTAGCTACCCTCTTAAGCTTTGTCCGCTTGCCCTCTTTACGAACTTGTTCGCCACCACCTGCACCCTCCTCAGCGCGGAACCAGCTCTTTGCTTTGCCATGCCAAATGACAAATGTAGTCATGACGTCCTCGTCAGTTGATGTCCAACCGTCTTCGAGGTAGATTCGTGGGAGGGCGTGGTGTCCTGGTTTGTTCGCATCGAAAGTTTGATTCTGGTAGAGGAGGTCATTCTCGGTGAGGAGACCAGAGTAGACGTAGCAGTCCTTGAGATCGAGATTCGCGATGCGCTCGTGGTGGATGTGCGCCAGTTGCTTGCCAACCCTACTTCGCAAGACATCGCGGAAGATGAGCAGTGTACCGGCAGTCAGCAGAACGCTACATCGTGTGAAGGGCGCATGTATGCGCGGTTTGCGATACAACATTCCGCTCATATGAACGCTGCGACAACAAGCGATACCACACATGTTGTAGAGCTCTGGTGAAGCAAATGATTGTGTTACCTCCCATTTCCTTGCAAACTGCCCAACGTGTGCTTCTGCCTCTTCGTCAATCTTAAGGGCGCTGAGGTTGCGACTACGTGTGGCTTTATAGAGGGCAATATCGGATGCCGTGCGATGTTTCCAGTACTTGGCGAGAGCGCGTAGATGTTGTATCCACTCTTTCCGATGAGCTTTGTCTGCGGCCTGGACGTTGTGTCAGTTAAGAGTTCCAATATACGTGGAAGTATACTAACCTGAAGACGAATGATGAGACCATTCTTCATAACTAGCTCGAGAGTACGATCGATGTCCAGGTCCTTCGTAGCTCCGTCGTTACGCATAGAGTCGTCGACCTCGTCGTCAAAGTCCACATCCGAGCCTTCCTCCAGGTCTTCGTCAGCGGGACTCGCGCCCAACTGGGCTTTGCGGACTTTGACAACATCTGCCAAGCTGATGTAGCCGTCGCAGTTGAGCAGATTCTGCTCTTTGCGGGCGGCCTCATCTGCTGCATCTTCGTCATGCAGACGCCTGGCTTCCGTCGTACCTGAGTGACCCTCCATCAGCCACTCAATCTGCCCAACTTGAAGGCCATACGGGTTGACAGCCCAGCTCTCTGGCACCGCGTCTTTGACCGCTTGCGCTGTTGGCACATTGGCATTTCCAGACGCAGGTAGCCTCGGAGGCGGAGGTGGGGTGACTTTTGTGGGTCGTGAAAAGACGAGATACTGATCGTGGCTGGCAAAGTAGAGCTGCTTGTGGTACATGAGGCCTAGTCGCTTCGCCCGTCCTCGCTGCCCTGTCAGTCGGATGAGAAAACCTTCGACGGGAACCGGTTCAGTCAAGGTCTTGTGCTTCTTCCTTGTCACTGCAGTTGTAGGATAGTGTGTCTTGGGCCTCAGTTCCAGTTCGTGCGACTTTAGCATAGCTATCGTGCCGTACATCTTCCGCTCGTTCGCGCCATGTATCCACTCAAGTCGATCATAGCGCTTCCAGGCGAGACCTATGCGCTGGTCCTTGATCCACGATTCCAGCACGTCAGCCCACTCCGGTGCGTCTTGCAGTTGATCCAAGCAGCGCTTGATCAAATCTTGAGCAACCGCCTGTTCCTCTTGCATAGTCCTCAGCAGAGCCTCCTCGGTGTTCTCTGCATCCTGAACTTTGTTTTGCGATGCCTCTAACTTCTCGAATGGGTTGGCGATCCGTATGCTCAAGCTCATGTCTGGTATGCTGATCTGGAGCTCGGAAGCACGCTGCCAGCCAAGGACGTTCCGTAGAAAAGTATACCACTCTACTGCATTGGACGCGGTTCGAGCTTGCATGATGAAGATCAGGGTTTCGCGTGAACCTGGTGAAGACACGACCATTGACTTGTCCAACGATGAGTAGAGATTGACCTTGCAGGTCTTCTTCCCCAGCGGAACTTCGTAGGCAGCCTTCTTGCCTGCTCCTGCATTCTCAATTTCCGGGATGACCTGGGAACGAAGTTAGTAGCTTGACGCACATGAAAGCGCGAGAGAAACGTACCCGGGTTTGGTAAAGCTGCAGCAGAAATTCTGCGTCATTGGTATGGCTGTGGCGACAGACGACCATGTACTCCCGCCATTTATCTTTGACGCGGGAGACGACCCTCTGGTTGACGTTTTCGTCAAAGTCTTCGGGAACTTCTGCGGCGGCATCCACTCGCACAAGCATGCGTTCCATCTTGACGACAAGGCCATCTTTGATCTTCTGCCGTCTTATCTTGGTGCCAGCTCGCTGAACAGTCATTTGCGCCTTCTTCGCTTTGAGCTGGATCGTGGCACGTCGGGAGTCCTCCGGGATGTCAAACTTCACAAGGTTCCGAAGGTTCGACTTCTTGCGTGTCAAATCTCCCGTGGCAGGGTCTGTGTCTTGAGGCAGTTCCGCGGTAGAGGACATCCTGCCTGATCTTCTCCTGACTCTTGCCATTATACCCTTCGCAGGCGGTTTCGAATCGACATCAGCCGAGGCCGGTGCCTTGTTCATGTCAGCCTTACGCAGCAAAGACGATGTGGAGTTTGCATCTACAGAGGCTGCTCCGGTAGCTGATGCAGGACTCCCAAGGCTCTCTACATTCGACAGTGGGCGTTTGCCTAGTGACGTTGATCCTGCCTGCCCTTGGCCTGAAGGAACTTGTAAGCCACTTGCCTGTGCTTGTTGTTGGTGTTGCCCCTGCAGCGGCCCTTCGTCCGATCCTTGTTCGTCCTCGTCATCATTTTCGTCTGCGGGTATCGAGGATGCGGTGATATACGTCTTGTCCGTACTCGATCGGCGGACTGTCCGTTCGTTGGTGGGAATGCGCTCGATGTCGTCGTCTTCCGGCTCCGAGGGCGCGTCTACGAACTCGTCGTTTTCGTCATCGTCCATGACATCGCTCTTGTGGTCTGAAGCGCGCGGCACTTGCAAGGCGGGTGGAGTCGCCGCAGTCGCATCCGCCGCGCCATTGGCTCCGCTGGCCTCGAGTTCTTGCGCGCCTTCCTCATCCTCTGCTTGAAGTTCCTCGGGCTGGGGGAAGCTGTGCTGGAAGAGGGCAGACGAACTGGGGCCTTCGAGGCCACTCAGTCGTCGTTGGCGCGCCTCACGCGGGTCTGAGGAGAAGGTCGCCGTACGCGTCGAGTAGTTGATTCGCAGATGGTGCTTGTACCTGAACGTGCGATGTCAGTACATGTCGCATAGGCAGTTCCTGCAGCAACATCTCTTACCAATCGGAGCGGTGCTTGGTCAGCCATGCCGTGGGGATAGGACCGATGAAGTAGCGTCTCGTCGTGAGATGCAGATGTTCGGGCGTGGCATGTTCCTACTCCTCTTAGCTTGCGACATGTGTACGGTAGTCTGCAGCCATGCATACCAGTCTCTGGGCAGTGTACGAGTCGAGGGGTAGATTAGTAACGTCAGGCTGGTGCCATGAGCGGCGCTGCTGGTCGGGCATCGGACCTCTCCTATCTCCTTCTGGCCGCGGAGGTGCGCTCCTTCAAGTCACAGTCGGGTGGGAGTGAATACATAAACCACTAAACAACATACATTAGGTTAAGAAGCTAGTAAGAGGCGCGACTACTTTGCATAAAGAGAGGCAGCCACGAGCGCGTGGCGGGCGTGCGACTAGGAAAGCAGGCGCGGGCGAGGGCCGAACTGGCGACGGCATCCTAGCCTTCGTCATCGTTGAGGTGCCCAGCCCGCACCCCCTGTGCAGATCATTATTACAGATCTTCTCACATCGCTACCAACAATATTCGCAGACACGCGATAATCATTGCAGCATTCCAGGCAGGCTTCAAATAAGCCGGCGGGGTACCAAGCAGTAAGCTGTTCTCCACGTGTCCGACACGCTTTAGCGTCTCCTCCAAGACAACCCGCGATTCGACTACATCTCAGAAAAAGGAACCTCATCCCTTCTGACTCGAGGCATTCCGCGCAACAGACGATCTCTACGCACTTATCTGTTCACCAATTAACTACAAATTCCCATTAACCCACGTGTGCTTAGTCCTACCAGGTTCTGGTCCCACAACACAAATTTGGTTCCGATTCATCCAAGCGAAGAGACCACCAACTCGCCAAAACGTGCAGTTTCAGATCCCAACCTACCCATTCCGGCAATTCTTTCGCAAAACTGTTGATTCCGGTCTCGGGTGATCTGCTAAGTGGCGTTGCGTGCTACGAGGGTCTTCCTGGTCAGCACGATCTTGACAACTTGGTGGCACAGGCGTATTCGCATGCATAGTGCGAAAAGGTCAATCCGTGACTCGCTGACTGTGAGGCTGTAGGTTTACAAGAACGATTTCATGTCGTCGCATATGTCCATTCACAACTCTGTATTCTCCTTCTTCTTCTCCGCTTCTAGCAACGTTCGCCATGCGATCTCAGCCGCGCCCCTCGCTGCTACATATCCAGGGTTATCATACAGGATCCTGGCCTGGAACCCATACAATCTGACCGCTTCTGCAATTGCCGCTCGAATCTCCTCGCGGCCAACACTTTTAGCGCTTCCCGTCATTATGATAATGAATTCCTTGGGATAGACAAAAGGATATTTCGTGTAACCATGATACACCTTGCGCAAGTACTCTAGCACAAATTCGCGTGGCTGCTCCTCAGACGCTGAACTGCTGCTGCCCAGCTCAAAACTCGACCGGAAACAGTCGACATTCGCGAGATTGCGAGCATGTGTCATCGGCTTGCCATGCAGCAAAATCGCAGTTTCGGTATACTCAACAAGGACTGTGTGTCGTCCACCGTACTCGTGTGGCTTCTTGCCACGAGTTACCAGTTCAACGTCGCTCTCATCCAGCCCCATTCCATGCCCGGCATATGCGGCAGTGAGTTCATGCACCTGATACCCCAGGTCCGCCGTCAGCGTGTAAAGTCCGGTGTACTCGGCCGCATCTGCGACGCATTCCTGATATAAGGCCAACAACGGGGGAAAGCTCAGTATCGCCCATGGCCGATGACCAAGTTTCTTCTCCGCCATCTTCGTTGTCTTCTTGAGCATAGCGGCTAATGTAGCTGCATCGTCAGAACCTGCCAGGCCAAGCTTCTTCCGTGTGTTCCGCCATAGCGTTCGTGGCGCGTCGTTCCACAGATCTTCCATGCTGCCATATGGTCGGCTACAATGTACATGGTCAATACTTGTATGCATAACTACAGGAAAGCCACGACCCACGTTATATGTTCTGAAGACGGCAGAGAGAGACGTCGCATCATCTTCACATACGCCTTCGATGCCTCCACTCGGCCCAGGTCTTCGAAAGTTCCGTCCGGCCATCGAACTGCTGCTGTCCCATGATTTGCAGTGAGCGAAATGCCAACTACTGGCAACTTCGATGTGGGCTTTTCCCGGAGCTCAACTGCGACGGCCTGAGCGTATGAGATGGCAAGGCGGATTACTACGACACCCACGAGGACAGACAGTATTTTGAACATATTGCTTGAGTAGTCAAAGACACGATACTCAGGTGGGTGAATAAGTAAGTGCATCGTGTTCGCAGGCTGGAGATGGTGAGAAGTCGCGACGTCAAGCGGCACAGTAATGGCTGCTGCTTACATCCAGACGCGGGGTACGTCTGTTCTACTTCACACCCTGCTGACTTTACTTGAAGCCTCCATGCGCACTCTGAACCTGGCATTAAAGTATTTGTCCATAAAATCCCAGTATAACATCGATCTCGCTATCATTATGCGACTACGTCATCCTCATCCCACCCTCATCTGCCGACGAAAGCATCGCCCTTACCAATCTCTGGGACGATGTGCTCCACTACGATCATCTACCCTCCCACCACGCTGCGTCCCATTCCTTTGATCGTTCTGCCTTGGCGACTCATACTCCCTTCTTCCATACACTGAGCGAGGCGCATATGCGAAAGAAGGGGATGGTGTACCCCACGCTCGGTCGAGGTACATGGGCTCAGGCGTTCCATGAGGCTGTCTGGTAAATGTCCCCGTTGATGGTGAAGTTGGTGCGCGGTAACCAAGTGGCCCTCCATTGGGTGGCGGCGCAGTAGGTGCTCTCCTCGGTGCCGGAGCAAGAGTAAGTAGTGCTTCGGCCGTGAGGCTCGTTCGGGGAACGCGACTAGGCTTCTCTGCACTGTCCTTCGTCTCCATGATCGGTTCAAACTTCTCTTCCATCACATGTGGTTGTTGCGCTTCCACATTCCGCACCTCTTCTTCTGTTTCCGCGTTCGCAGCTACTCTCGCAGCCCACTTGGCTTCCAACATCTTTTTTCCCTCAGCGGTCACCCGCTCAGTCATCCGGTTCTCGGCTTTCTCGATACCCAACTTGAGCGCTTCGCCCACGGCGCTGTGGAGGGCGACGAAAGGGGACGTGAGGACGTGGCGGAGCTGGAGTTGGTAGTCAAGCTTGACTTCGTGGTTGTCTAGGTTTATGTGAAGTCGCGACCTCTTCTGCGCTTCATCTGCTGTACCTGTCGACATAGATCTAGCCGGCTCATAGTACACCTTCCGCTCCTCAAACCTCCCCTTCTCTTTCCACTCTTTAAGTGCATTGCAATCCAGATTCTGCGGTCCATACCGCTTGAGCGGGATGCGAAGTGCGCGAATCAAAGCTTGGGTATGCAGGACGTTCAACTCCAACTTTGGCGTAAAAGAGTCCCGGACATGGAGATACCAGCTCAGACACTCCGTAAGGCCGCGTGCATCAAGACCAGACGGCAGATGGTTCAGACCATCCAGGAGATCACTGAATGTCGGCAAGACGTAACCGCTGCGTCTGTCCGCAATGTATCTGCCTGGCTCTAGGTGGTCGGTATGTAAGTTGGCATCATGCTTCCCGTTGATAGTGTCGGTCTTGAAACCCTCGATGATCTTTTTGACGGAGTCGCGTTGGAATTGGTTCATGACTGCGGCTGTAATGTCCGTTGTTGGGGGGCCACGGAAGAATGCCTGTGCATTGTCAGCTATAAAGTATCTCATTGCAATCAGACAGACGAAGACGTACCTGCATACCCACAATGTCCGCACCGCGATAGTCGTTGTTCGCTAGTCGGACCATCATGCTTTTCCACCGCACGTGATGGGGGTAGTAGGCCATGATTTCTTTCGCGGATAAGGGTACTCCGGGGGGAAGTAGAGCGTCTACGGGGACTGCGTCGTTGTACCATGTGTAGTGGACTCCGAGGTCCTTTCCTACGAACCCGGGCTTTTGTAGAACGCCGCGGACTGCCCGCATATTGAAGTCTTTTGTTTCGTCTACCCATGGACGCTGGAAGGGAGGATACGTATGTACGGATTCGCCCGAATGCAACATGTGTGGTGTGTAGAGCGAGGCTGCGGTGCGAGCTGTGGCAGGGGTATGAGGATCGAAGGGTATGCTGAAATTCGCAGGTGTGTCTGGTATTTGTTGGAGATGCATAGGGCCTGGTGTTGATACAGCCGGAAGCGCATCCTCTATGATGAGTCTGCCTGAGAAGCGCAACCTGACGGTCAAGCTATAGGTCTGATAGTCTGGCTCTTCGCCCTCTACATCATCATGGCTGATCCGTTGGCGCCTTGCTACTGACATCCATACGTTCTTCTTCGCAGTCTTTGACTTCCTCTTGAATGCTCGGACTTTTATGGTGGCTTTCGGGATATCCGAGAGGGCTCTCTTCTTTGCGCTTTTTGGAGTAGCCGACACCGAGGCGCTTACATCGACCGCTTTGATGTCGCCATCGCTTGGGCCACTGCCACTACGACCCCTGCTCTTCCCCGGGTCGGCGACCTGATAGTCGTAGTCCATGTCATCCCACGCCGACCGATCGTTGGGCGCGGTTTCGTTATCATCGTGTTGGAAGACACCGGTTGCGTAACGCCAGTCGCGGTTTTTGGGGACCCAGGTTGAGTGCTTCTGTGGCCGCGAGTGGCGCGCAAGGATATCTTCTTCTTTCATGGCCGTGATAGCGAAGTAGGTCGCGAAGTAGGTCGCGAACTTTTCCGTTGCTGTCGCTCTATCGTAACGCTAGGTCAACTTTCGTGGAACGAGGAAGAACTGGGTGAGTTGAGAGAAAAGTTTCTGGAGAACGCGTCGTGAATAGCACATGACGCACTGGTAAACACGGGTCCATATTCGCGTAACAGGCATTTTGGCAAGTGAAGGTGGAAAAGACACGTGAATGTCGCCCAGTGGACGCCTAAATACCCTTGGACATATACTGCCTATCGTCATAGAGTGAAAGGAAGCCATAGCGATGCGTAGTCAGTCTCTGGCACCTGTCAGAACTGAGATCCCCATACGCATGTCCGGGGACGACGATACATGCTGTTGATGGTGCTCCGTAGAGTGACCACTGACCCTACCTCCAAATCCGATAAAATCTTCGCCAAGACTTGAGAGAATGAAAAGATGTCTGTTTCCGCTTCTTAAAATTCTTGATCGGGAAAGACATACGTGGACATAGGAAACCACGACATATGAGCAGATGGCCGAACAGACCAAGAACGAGATGTGGCCAGGCAGACTTGAAATGTAAGTCATCGACGAATGTTGTCACTTTACAAAACAGGCCAAGCAATCTCGCTGATTGAGCTATCGTCATCGCAGGTCACCGTGATAGCATACTCCCAGGTTCGCACTTCCGGTGTCCTCCAAGGCTTTTCATGTGGGCTTTGCTTGCCGAGACATCAGCCCGGGCTGCGCGATGGAACTTGATGGCACCAATCGCAAAGGTATCAGAGTCCTGTCAAAGGGTAAATGGGAGAGCAGGTATGATTAATGAACATAGTGAGCTGATGTTGTCTTCGACGAAGCGGACCCGCGCGAAAGCAAGCGCTTCCGCAACACGGGCCAATCAAAGCACGCCTACGTCATTATCCTGCAATATCCGAGGTCCATCATCAGCACCATAACACCGCGTCCAGCAGCGCATTGCTACCACCCGACTATCAACCCTCTCTACCAAAAGCCATCATGAGCACAAAATCCATCCCAACGCTAACCCTCGATGGCGCGCGCATCGCCCTCGCCGCCGCCGAGCAGCGCTCCAAAGAAATCAACGTACCAATGAACATCGCCATCATGGACAACGCGTGCCATCTCCTAGCATTCGCCCGCATGGAAGGCGCAAAACTCACATCCATCAACATCGCCATCGACAAGGCTTTCACAGCTGCAGGTCATCGCGCGCCTACCTCTGTTTACAAAGACAATGTGTATCCTGGTGGCCCGGCGTATGGCATCAACCACAGCAATGGGGGCAGGTTTATGACGATTGCGGGTGGTGTGCCGATTGTGAAGGATGGGGTTGTTGTGGGGGCCGTGGGGTGTAGTACGGGGTTGCCGAGTCAGGATGAGGATGTTGCGAAGAGGGGGGTTGAGGCTGTGCAGAAGAGTTTTGGGGTTAAGGCGAAGCTGTGAGTTGTGTCAGAGAGGACGGATGAAGAGAAAGATATGGACGATGCAGCTGAGTCGTTGTGTCGTTGCAAAAGATGACCGAATTTACGTCTTTGATCGCCATACTCATTTGCATCTAGTGTCATCCAAATTCCCATTGTATTTCGGCAAGCTACGAGTTCCTCCTCCCACTAATTCTTACATGTACGATTGCAACACTTCTCTACCAGCGATGAACCGGAGGTATCAGACTCATCACACCGAAACCATTCGCATTCGCATCCCTAGGATGGTTTCTGACACTGCGAATAGTACTCGTCGACCTTGAAGCAAACCAGGCCCTGGTTACAAGTCGTCGAGCCCTGCCACGTCTGCCCACCGCACTGGTCATAGAGCTGTACCGGACCCGTAGCCACTGGTGAGGCAGGCCTAGTTGTTGTCGTGCGCCGGGTGCGAGTGAACGGCGGTGCTGGTTGAGCAGGCGGAGTGGATGTAGGTCTAGCAGTTGTCTGAGTTCGCGTGCTGGTGGATCTCTGAGATGAGACCGGTGGCTGACATTGCGAGTAATCTACAATAGGTCAGTAAGAGATTCGGGATGGCACGCATGACATGATCGAAGCAGCGCGACTCACATTCATCGACTCGCACGCACACCGAATCCTTGCATGTCCTGGGGCCAGTCCAACCATTCCCGCCGCATTGGTCATACGGTAGGCCGATGGTAGGTGCGGCACTAGCAGAGGTTGTAGTCGTTGGAGTTGTTCTTGTGTTAGCTGGGTCCGCGAGGCAATAGTAAGAATTCTCGTCGACATAGGTACAAACGGTGCCTCCTACGCATCGAGTGGGACCTTTGTAAGACTTGCCGCCGCATTGACCTCCCGGCTGTACAGTACCAGAAGATATCGGGGCCGAAGTCGTAGGCGTCGGTGATGGGGTGTTCTGCCCCGGAATTGGGTCATCGTTGCGGCGGCAGCCAGACACGCCAGACAAAGCTTCAGGGCACTTGACCTTCTCCCAGTTGACCGAAGGATTGTCAGCTCCTCGGAACCAGTCGAACCGCCAGTAACAGCCAGCTTGCAGCGCAGAAGGGAGGGCGTCGCAGTCGTCGCGATGCGCTACGCCACCATAGTCTTGACCCCAGACATCCGCGCCGCCATATTGCTTCGTGCATCCTTGGGTCGAACCTTCGCCACCACCAGGGATGGCAATGTTGAATTGATCTTCTCCTAGATCAGATCCGGTATTCGTGACCTGAACGATCATCTTCTTTCCGTTGACTGGGCCGGAAGTAAACGTCAGACTAGAGTTTGTCAGTCACTGCTCGGGCATCGAACTGGATGAACACACGAGTAGCAAGAGCAACACCACGCAGATTCATTCGAAGCAGCGAGATTGACTGCGGCGAAGCCATAAGCCAAATCGTTACTCGCAGCCCATGGGCTGAGATCAGAGCAGGCATATGAGCCACCGCCGCTTTCGCAGCCGTCGCGCCTGTTGTAGTTGTCGAGGAGATTATCGCTTGCGTCGCACGTCAGAACTGGCTTATCGACAAGAGCTTTGCCGGGCCAAGAGCAGGAGTTCTTGCAGCATGACCATTGACGAGTGGTTGACCCGGTGCCTTGGACGGCACTTCCAGCGCCGTAGGCAAGGGCGAAGAAGGTCGACGTGACAGCGGAGAGAAGGAAGATCCGCATCTTGGAGTTTGGGTACGAAACTGTGAAGGTGCAAGACTGACAGAGACTATGAGACTGAGCTTATGAGTGATGAAGTGTGAAGCTTATATATACGCGGAGTCGACTATGCCTTCCGGTCTGACTTTCTTTACAAGTCCGTACGCCATGGCATCTACCACGTCCCTGCTTCCGGCATCTGCACGATCTGGCAGAAAAACTTAACAGATCTCTGATATTCCTAGGTACTTGATTGCCCACACGGGAAGCATGTTGGTGCTCATCTACCGACGATGTTCTTCCGCTGTCTGTTGAGAAGCGCTGGAGCGCTACTATTCATGGAAGCTGCCAGTGTAGTTTGCTAAAACAGACGGCTATATGATCTGGTGACTGTCGGCAGATACATACACGCCACTTCACGACCTTCGAGCCATTCTGTTCGTTGTGGGTTGTTTTTGTGCATGCTCGAGATAGACCTGTGGTGTAGTCGCTCCTCGTCCCCTTGTCGCCCGCCCGGAAGAACGCTGTTGATGATCATCCTAACCCCATCCGTGCGGACACGATTGATTACTCTCGTTTCTGGACCGCGAGAGCACGGGCTATCTTCCGTACAGGGCAGCTCTTCTTCCGACACCCATAGAGCCGGTAAGCCACGAGCCAGACTTCGACTTCGATCTTGATTGAGCGCTGTCTGCCATTGGCCCCAAGTGTGGTACCAGATTGAATACCGAGAGATCTGTTGAGGCTTCTGTTTCTTGGACTGTAGCGGAAGGCATCGCGAATGTTGCCTTCTTCAGAGGTCTGCGGCGTTTGAGATACGGCACAGATGTGGGTACATAGTGCCGCGAGAGTAGATCACTATGGCGCACTCGTCCAGGGGCCTGGGGCAAAATCCAAGTTTACTATACTGCCATGGGTCCAGCGAACCATGTCTGCGAGAAAAAGCACCTTCCTAAGCACGGGCACGAACAGCGAGATCTCCTTGCGCGTCGATCTGCCTACGACCGATCGACTGGTAGTCCGTCCCCGGTGTCCTGGTAAAATTTGAGCTCGCTTTCACGTGCGACTGCAGGCGGCTCTATATAACCGGCGATTCATCTATCTGGTCAGATGACCAAAAACACATACACGTCAGTCACCGAGCGAGGGCAACTTTCACGATTCGGCCCGTGAGGAAGTCGCAGAATTTCGGAATGTTCGAGAGAAACAGAAGCATCGTGACTTGGGCCAAGGTTGGCTCACGAGGTGTCGACAGGCATGTGTCTTGTAAGGACAGGCGTCCAAGGCCCCTAAGCGGGGGTAACGCCGTTGTGCTGCCGGCGCTAGGGTCGTAGCGGACCGCAAGAAGGCCCAACCTTAGTGTCACTCCTAACATGCACAATGCGCTTCCTATACCTTCAAGAATTCAGATAAGAAATCCTACACGATTAACCGGTGAAGCCATGGATTTGGCATCAATCAATCGGCTGATGCTCGCACATCACTGATCCTTTCGGCGCTACCCGCGCTTCCAATTCTCCGACTTCAGGCATTCGTGGCAGGTTGTGGGGAACGTCGATCGCCTACGACACATGCACATTAGCCCACGTCCTGAAAGAATTTATCGCCTTACGTCTCAGGTATCAATAGCCAATCACGTCCGCTCGCATCATCGTCCATTGGTTAAGCGACGGCGTATATACCGCTTTATCTACCTCCGAAACAGGGTGGACTGGTCGAGCAAAATGCGGTCGGACCGTCTCGTAGGGACTATCATACACAGCTGTGATTCAGGGTCTGTCATAATATGGCAACAGCCGCGTCACGTTGCAGACTAGCTGTCCCTCCATCTTTTCCCGGTTGCAAACGTTGACTGACAGCTCGGCACAAACACCTGCATTTAACACTTTGGACCCCTGGAACCAGACGAATTTTGGCTACTCAACTTGCGACAAATCTCGCTGCGAAATCGAAACAAGATGGCTGGCATAGCTTGCGTATGGGCGAATATCCCAGAGGGACGCGAAGAGTGGTACGAGAACGTACACCTACCTTCACTGAATCCACACAACGCAAAGCATGCTTTACATTGCGAAGTAACAGCGAGTGGTATGGAGAATGAGCCAGTGGGAAGGTTGGACGCGCCATGGCCTTACATGACCGTATGGGAAATAAAGAGTGTCGACCAAGCCAACAAAGACATGTACGACGCACAATACCATCCACCAAATGCCGATTTGCAGGCTTCGCTCAAAGACCTACTTCTTGATCTTCGGTCCTATCGGGAAATCAAGAGTTGGAAACAAGACGACTGGTCCGGTGACGGTGGTGGTAAGATCACGGGTGCGGATAAAGCCGGCGATGACGGACTAATGTCGATAGACATCGAATACGTCGCAAGCGTGGCGGCAATGGAATGGAGCGTACCAGCCGACAAGGAAGAGGAAGTCATGAAATACTACAGAGAAGTCGTCGGCCCCACAATATCTAGTTCACCAGACGTACTGCGGTTTCGCCTCTTCGAGGTTGACAACGCAACAACGATGCAGGGCGGAAAGTTCGAGACCAAAGACAAGAAAGAGCTACACAGATACTTTACTCTCGTCGAGCTAGAGTCTGAGCAGTGGCCATGGGACGTGGTCGTCGATCTCGCGGAGGACAAGGAATGGAAGGACTATTTCGAGAGTCAGCAAGTAGTGGTACGTTGACGATCAAGCCCCGTGGAACTTTGAGTTACTGACACAATTCAGAAATGGCAACTTAGTCACTACTTGATGAAAAGGGCGTATGGCGTACCGGAAAGCAAGGCCTCTGCATCGAGCTAAAGGCTGGAAACGCTAGATCGGCCAACGCATTGGTTAAGGGATAGTATCTTCGACCCGAGCGAAGCTTCTTCTCACGCAATACATCAATTGAACCATGAAATCACAGCATCGACAAACCGAGACGGTGCATTCAACAAGCTAACATATGCGCACGCGCATCTGCGTTTGACACCAGAGACGCACTATGTACAGCCTATCCGCATCGCTCGCCTGTTGATATTCGATTTCGCCCAGCCTCTGCACCAAATGTATTGGATCCTCCTTCTTTACCGAACCGATGTTGCGGATCGATTTGTAAACCCCCACCGACGAGTAACCAACAAGCCCGCATGCGCCTACATTCAGTCAGCCAACCAGTCGTCATCTATAACAAAGCGTCACTTACCAGCAGCAGGCTTAAAGGCCGCATTCATAACGCCAGTCGCACATCCAGCAGCAAAACCGAGGACACCATTCTTCTCCGCACCATCGATGGGTTTGATTATAAGATCCCTTATGCCATCACTCAGTCCGTACCCAAAGCTCTTGAAGCTGACCAGCAGCCCACTCCTCAACCCAGTCACATTCTCATACTGCCGCACCTCCTCGCCATACGCTTTAGGAAGGTTATGAAAACCTCGAGTAATACCATGCATGACAATCGCCGGACTCTTCAGACTGGTGGTGACGATGCGTCCGAATCCTTTTGCGGTACCGAGGGCTACTTGGCGTGCCACATGAGGCGAGTCTTTGGTATCGAGAGGAGGTGATGGGTTAGCAGTCCCGTCGCGCTTCTCTTTGCGTCTTATCTCGCGCTGCAGCAGCATTGGTGTTGTTTGTTTGCCCAGTTCCACCGGACCTGCTATGAGACCCAGCATGATTCCGCTTACCACGTCGTAGGTAGTGAGAAATGCGGCGGACACCGGGTCGGTGGGATCGTGTTTCATGTCTGAGTATTGAGATATGCTGTATTGGGTGTCAGTGGTAATCGACGTTTGCTGCATGGCGAGTCTACCTACAGATGCAAGTCTTTGGGTTGGAGGAGACCCTCTTTAGTGAGCACCGCAGCCGCAAGCGGTGACAGGGCCATGCTCTTCCGCTTTACAAGCCACACTGCTTGTCTGTCGTGAAGGATGCTACATGCTCGTATGCTAGCAAGGCTCGCCGTTGCATCGGCTTCTGTGAAGTCATGTGTCAAGGCTGGAGGGTTCGATGAACGTGTATGCCGTGGGTCTTGTTGGTCGCTAACATCTTGTTGTATGTCATGCTCGTGCTCTTCTTGAAGACTCCGCGGTTCTGGGCTTGCAAGTGGATCGTATGCCGGCGACTGGTCTTGACTGCGTGGCTTTTCGTTTTGCGTCGACTCCGCATCTACCGAGATTTCTCCGCCCGCGACCTGTCGAGTGTATTCTGGGAGGTCCATGGTGTAGAGGTCGGCATTCTCGGCGGTGGGTTCAACATGCACCAGCGAGGATGTGTCAGTGTCTGCTCCAGGATAGTCAATAATCTCGCATGAGTATCCAGTGCTCGGAGTACTTACTGGCAACACTCCGATCGTCTTCGACTAAGGTCGTGGTCATGGCAGTCATCTTTTAGAGCGCAGGTCTGCAATGGTCGAATCGTAGATTGCGCAGCACGAATTGCACGCAGTATAACTTATGGGTCAACTTTGCCTTATTCAAGAGGAACTTCTCTATAAGGCCCTACTCCGTAGCCACGCGTGCGGAGATCTTGGCTTTCCGAAACGGGAAACGCTAAGCCCGAAGTGGTAACCCTTGAGAAGGGCGCAGCAGGCGGCCTGACACAACGCCAAATCAGCCTCGAAGGCCTTGCCGTCAAGGATCAGGATGTAATCATATATCCTAGACTAGGGAGGTGCTTCCACCGGACTTGTGGCGTACCTAACGCGGGGCTCGCAAACTCTACTAAATTGAGTAATTGTAGTAAGCTGCACAATCGTTGCCCCCACGGAGTTGTACATCCCTTCCATGGGGTATTTCACATCGCTCCCAATCACCACCGTGATATATTCAGCTTGAGAACACGTTAGGTCTCGAGATGATTGCGGATGAAGTTTAACGGGCATTGTAAAATAAAAGACCTTAGTACCCTTGCTACTAACCAAACGAGAAGGACTGCCAGAAGACTGCCAACAATACCATAAATATATAAGCCTAGATAATTCCTAGTAATGGAGCAGCTAAGCGGGAGCGTCGTTGGTCGCAGTCCATCTTCTACCCCAGACACTCTTCACGGCATGCCAAGCAGCGACAAAAGCGTCTTTGACCAGAGTCCTCATTCTTCCCCAAAGGATTTTGGCAATATATCCGAGAGCGAGAAACGGGAGATGGAAGAGTAGCGGTGACCATTCATCCTCCCCTTCATCATTCGGCTGACTGTTCGCTCCATCATTGACAGCTGGTTGTTCCATAGCAGTGACTGGAGAAGGCGATTGATCGGCGTTTGCAGCGTCCCCACTACTATGTACACTCTGATTGGCACTGGATGTTCCATAGTCTCTTATATCACGGGCCGAACTGGCGATAAGTGGTGTTTCTGTATTAGCAGGAACTTCTACTGTGCGGGTAGGCGGTGTTGGTGGGTGGGCAGATGATGTCTCCCTACGAGTAGGCAAGTTGGTGCCAGGAGGTGTTGTTGTCGAGTCATCAGTCGGACCCGGTGGTTGGGATAGTTGCTCGTCTGCGACATTGGAAGTCGTTGGATGATCTTCTATAGATGGTTCCTCATTCGGCGAGGGGTTTCGCAGTGTTATTGGAGGGTGAGAGGCAGTCGGTGTCTCCGAACCTCGACGCGTCGATGATGCGGAATCCACCACAAAAGGGTCATCATTGACTTCCGGGTTTGCGAGCATAGGAGCCGCAGCAGAATCATCATCCCGGCTCTTTCCTCTCTCGCGAGATAGTCTCTCCACCAATTGCGTGGTATTATTCCATATCTGAAGGTAGGTTTTCCACTGAACACTCAAAAGGAATGTGGCCGGCAACACGCAGCACAACAGGAAGAATTTCCATACTAGTACGTTGACGTGTCCAGAGGTACGGAATTTGAATAGACCGCACATTCTTTTAGCAAACTCATCCTCGACGGTATTTTTGTAAGTACTTTTGTCATGGTCTTCCCCGCTCGCTAGGCTCCAAGCATCGAATTGCGCTCGTGCTAGAGATGCCCTGAACATATGTTCCGCTTCGACTTCCCAGTGATCGTTATCCAGAGCTTGCGATCTTGCGTCACCAACACGTTGCTGGGCTAGGAGACTGCTACCCAATCGCAATTTGATGGTGTCGTAAGTGTTGGACTTCCTGAGCGCGTTGGCCATGAATCCATACGCTGGGTCCCTAGCGATATGTGCAACCTTTTTTGGTATCGTGTCGTATGCATGCCAGCAAATCTTACCAGTTGGGTCGCAAAACTGAGTCTCATCTATGCACGTAAACGCGCGTGATTTTGGACTGTCATTTATGTAGTAGTCCACAGTATCGTCCGGAAATCGGTATTTGGCCGTAGCTGGGAAAATGGGATCGACACTATTGTTGGCATACACAATGTGTAGAGCTGTGACGAATATGATTGTGAGCGTCTTGTTCCTTGTCTCTGTATTCAGTCCGGGGGCTGACTTCAATTCGTCAATAGGCTGCCAATAGTCACATCTAGGCTCAGCTCGTGATGTGGCCCATGTGCTGTGAGAGCACCGAAGTGATTAGAAAGTGTTCTGGCTGTAACATTGAGAGACTTACTTCAAACGATACACTGGCGCTAGCCAGTCAAAAGGATGGCCAACTAGACGCATTGTCCAGTTTCTTATCTTCTTGGGATTGCTCGGACAATCGTTACGGACATCATTGAACCCTCCATAGAAATACACAAATCCGTGATCGGTAGGGCTATTGGTGAAGTGCTTTACATAAGGAGATTCAGCACTCAGCGGGACGCATGTTGACGTTCGTCGGAACTTGTATGTTGGGTTGGAGTTGATACCCAGCAAGCTCGAGTCCAGATTTTTGGTGTCGAACGTGACTGCTGGCAATTTGTGTATCCCGCCAGTGTGACAGACAGCACTTTTGCTAAATGGGCACGGTGCTCTTGCCCTGTAGAACTCCAGATCAGGAGTGTAAAAGAAGTCGCACTTCATAGCCTTGCCCCTCTTCACTTTGCTCCTCTTGTCTTCTTCCTCCTTTTCTTTTCCCTCTTTCTCTTTTCCATTCTGCTCTTCTGTTCCGTTCACTTTGCCCCATCTATAGCACTCTTGAGCGTAAGTCGCTGCTCTGATTTCCCTTGACGCCATCAAGCTATCCGCCATAGCAGCGTTATCTTCGCCCCACTTCATGTTGTCATATTCCCAGAGACCACAATCGTCGTTTTTGTCGTTTTTAAGCAGACCCACCGGGCCCGTCGCTACCTTGTCTGCCAGGATAGAGCTTACAATGAGTTGAGAGAGGAAGACAAAGCACAAAGTGCCAAGAACAAAGAAATAGAAGAATTGGTGTCGGAGCTCTAGTCTTGACTCCTGTTGGCGAAAGATTTGATATATACTACGCGCCATCTGCCGTCCTGTCTTTGCATCTTTCGGTAGTACTGTAGCGTTCGGACGCTGTGTCTCTTCATCTTGGGCTGCAGCATGGTTGTTCCGTCTGGACAGGATCTTCATGAGGCCTGCGCAGCTACTGATTGCTATCCGAATGATGTAAGGTGTGCTGAGCGTAAGACAGAAGGCAACAGGAACTTTCAGCCATTGGGCTACGTAGTCTGTTTCCAACCATTGGAGCCCTGTGCAACATGTTAGGACTAGATTCAAAGCGAGGCTTCACTGGTGACATACTGTGATCATTATTCTCATCTATCCAGCGTCCGACTCGGGGCTCCGTGAGAAGCGACATCGATTCAGTACATCAAATTCAATACCCGGCTATGCTTTCTGTGTGTTACGTGTGCGACTTGATGCTGGTTGGTGTTCTATGCGACGTAAGCAAGTTACTAGCTGTAATATTCATACGAGCTTCCGAAGCTGAGATTGTCGAAGAAACACAATAAGAACCCTAGAGAGAAC